CGAATGCTTCGGTACGCCTCTGACTTGCTTTTACTACCGCCTTTCCCGTTGCTTTCTCATCCCTACAAGACTCTGAGTTGCATTCGGTGCACCACGTCCTGAGCCTCGTTAATGTCACATTTGTAACCGTTATTCCCCGTTATTTCTGCGTTGTCTACTCTACGTTCAGATGCGACTGACAACACTATCAGGGCAGCGTGCATCGACATCGTCATCCGCGCGTCGTCGCACGGCGGAATGGTTGTCCGTGCGACGTCCCATTCGCCATTCCACTCGCCATTGAGCTGCCTCTCCCCCTGCGCGCAGATAAGTACCCTCACCTCGCCTCCATCCTCTCTCCTTTGCTTATTGCACACGCCACTCAATGCCAGTCCAAGGCAAACTTGCAGCCTCCCTGTCTCTTCCCCTAGGTGTGAGTTAGCGTCAGCTAGGCGTCTCGTCAGTGTCAGGCGTCCTGCTTAGCTGTCCGTACGTCTGCCTGCGTCCGTCCGTGCGTCCGTCTGAGGTCTGCAGTGTGATCGCCCTGGCTGGCTGTGCACTCATGCTCATGCTCACTTCATACCCACATCACGCACACATAACCAATTTCGACTCTCACTCCTCACTCCCACCCACCTCCTGTTCCTGGACTTCAACTCATTCCTCCACGCCCCCCACTCCTTCTCCTCCCTCCCCTTCCTGCCGCCGTCACCACTCTTCCTGTCAGGCCAGTGCAAGGGGAGCAGCAAGGAGGGGAGGGCAGCAGGCGAGGAGAGCGCCAAGGCGGGCAACGGGGCAGCAGCGCCGGCCTCATCAACGGTCAAGGTTGCAGTATCGCCGCCACCACACTCCACATGAGCCCGCTCCCCCCCGGTTCAGGTTCAGGTTCAGGTGCAGGTGCAGGTTCAGGTTTAGGTTCAGGTTGGTAGTGGCTCTTGTGGGGCTGTGGGCGGCATCACATGCACCGTCGTTTCTGCACTCGCACTGCTGTCAGGCGCTCTTTTCACTTGCAACGGCCGCTCCCTCCCACCTGCCTGCCAGTCACTCTCTCTCTCCACCCTCCTCTGCCTCGCAGGTCCATTGTTCCATTATTTCCTCCTCTGCATCAAGGCACCCCCTCCGCCTGCACCACCACTGCTCCAATTCTCAGCTAAGTTTTTCGCCTCCTTCAGTCTTGCCTCTCAAGTGCTTTCGGTTGATTTGAGTTCTGCTTCTTTTCTTTCTTTCCATTCTGTCAAATCCCACCGCTGGTTGGGGCATGACTTGCAAGCCACAGACCTCCCTTTTCTTATTCCAGGTAAACCCCTCAGGTTCAGGTTCAGGTTCAGCCCCCCTACAGTCTTACAGCCCCTCAGGTCCCCTTGGGGGTCTGTGCCTTGTGCTTGTGCCTCAACCAGTGGCCCCTCCCCTCTCATTTGCCTTGCATGCCCTGCTCTTGCACTTTCACCCTTCGTCCCATCGCTGCCTACTCACCAGCTCTGCGTGTGTGCCTTGCAGGTGGGGGGGAGGGGCGTGGGGGTCAGCACCGCCATTCTGCACGCCTCTCCCCGGTGGCCGTGCAGGGAGGGACGCACACGGGAAGGCGGGGAGGAGGGCTGCCGGGGAAGGAGTCACCTGGTGCTGCAGCAGCTGCCCTCTGCTCACTCTCATGCCTTACAGCTAAGTTCCCTCGACCCCTTGCCTGCCTCGCCATGTCTTGTGTACTTTGCTTGCATCTCGTGTTTGCATGCACTTTTGCACCTTCCTCTTGAAACAGCGCCACTGGTTGGGACCGCCTCACATGCTGCAGACCCCCTTACTTCAGGTAACCCCCTCAGGTGCAGGTACCCCCTCAGGTGCAGCCCTTGGGTCTGCAGTTTGTGACTTGGCCTCCCCCGGTGGCCCCTCCCCTCTCCCGCCTTGCAAATGCCGTTCCCTCTCTTGCACTTTCACCGACGCTTCCCCACGCCCCTCCCCTGTGGCCGTGCAGGTACCCATGGGGATGGGAGGGAGGCAGCACTGCCAATCGCTGCCACAAGGGAGAGTACCGGGGTGGGCTTGGCCTCTCAAGGTACCTCACCTCCCCTCTTGGCCTCATCTCTCCCCCTATTTTGCGTTCCAATTCTGCTTTCTGTTCTTCAGATCTGGCTTCACGTGTTTGTTGGTTCTAAGTTTTCTGTTTTTTTCTTTTCTTTTTCTTCCTGGTCATGCCAATTCACTTGCTTTTTTCTTCCCCTCTTTCTTCTCCCCCCACCAGGTGACTTGGCACGGAGTGAAGACTGTAGCAGAGGAAGCTGAGTAGCTGACCGGCAGTAGCAGTTTGTAGCAGCAGAAGCGGCCTCAGCAGCAGCAGCGGGGTCGGGGGGGGGAGTGGGGGAGGAGGAGGCCTAGAGGACAGGCTAGGTTAGGTCGAGTCATGAGCGAGGTGTGGTATGGTATCAGGTGAGGTATGGTATCCGGTGAGTGAGGTGTGGTAACGGGTGTGTTATCTGATCCCCTCCCCTCTCTTCACCCCCCTCCCCCCTCCCCCACCCCCTCATGCAGCCTGAGAGAGGGAGGGACCACCGGAGCAAGGGCAGGACACAGGGCGTCTCTCGTTTCATCTCCCCCCCCCTCTCTCGTCCTCTTACCTTCCCTATTTACAGTCTGAGGAAGGGAGGGAGCACTGGAGCAAAGGCGGACAGAGGCATCCCTCTTTTGACCCCCCACCCCCCTCCTCCACTCCCCACTTCCCGGCAGCGTGAGACATCATGGCAGTCTGCACGGCCGTGGTAGTCACAGGTAAGGAGGCATGTGGTGAAGGGATGGGGGTGTGGTGGGGAGCATGGGAGCAAGTGTGCAGCTCACTGCCTTAGGGGCAGCGTCCTCTGGGGCTGTGGCTTGTGGTGGTGGGGTGTGGTGGGTGGAATCTGCGCGGCATGGCACTCGGTGCTCAAGTTCCTGATCTGGCGTTTAAGGCTTAATGGACACCGTCAGAGCCGACCGGCCGGCGGCTCTGGTTCGCGTCAGCTCTAGCTACGTCAGGGGTGGGATGTGAGTCTTGGGCTGGAAGCAATCTTCCGCTACCACACCTCACCCCACAAGGCACAGCCTTTGGGGGTGCTGTTTTTCTAAGGAAGTGGGCTGTCTGCTGCTTCTAATGCTGGCAAGTGAAGGTGATCAGGGGCTGAAACCCCTTGGGAGGGTGAGTGGAAGGGAAGGTTGAAACTCCTTTTTAGGGTGAGTGAAGGGGAAGGGGCTGAAACCCCTTGGGAGGGTGAGTGGTGCTGAAACCCCTTAGGAGTGTGAGTGGGGCAGAAACCCCTTGGGCGGGTAAGTGAGTCGGAAGGGGACTGAAACCCCTTTGGTGGGTAAGTGAGATGGAAGGGGACTGAAATCCCTTTGATGGGTAAGTGAGATGGAAGGGGACTGAAATCCCTTTGATGGGTAAGTGAGATGGAAGGGGACTGAAATCCCTTTGATGGGTAAGTGAGATGGAAGGGGACTGAAATCCCTGTGATGGGTATTTGAGATGAAGTGAAAGGGGGCTGATTTTTTCTGGCTGGTCGAGTGGAGAAATAGAGGACTGAATCTCTTTGGTGGTTGAGTGGAAAGGAATGAGGTTAAAACCTTTTGAGCTAAAATCTCTGCCATGTCATGGGGGCATTGGCAGCCCTTCCATGTCATTGCTATGATAGATGTGAATTACAGCAATAGCACGTATGGTATCATGATGTTGTGTGGCGTGTCCATTGTGCAAGATGCCATGGTGTGAAATGTCACGGTGTGGCCTTGCATTCCATCTGCAGGTAGGCAACAGCTCGAGGGAAGACAAAGGAGGAGGGTTGAAGGCTTGAAGCGTTTTGGCATGTGGCAGTGCATCACCTTCGTACTGCTGCTCTGGTCACTTTGATTCTGCTATCATGTCGTCGTATGTCAGCAACAACGATGTAGATTCACCATAGTGCTCCATACCATGTGATTTTCCGTCTTTGCATGTGCTGTACATACGTGAGCAGTATGCTGCAAGCCCCCTTTTGTATGTAGTGAAGTACTGAGGAAAAAGCATGCTTGGAAAGGACACAGATTGAAATATCCATTATTGGAGAGATCACTTGTTCCTAATACGTTGACATGCAATGAAGACAAGAACAAACGTCGAGTGAACCAATTACACCTAGCATAGCATCCCGCGCTCACATACCAATGTTAGGCTCCATGCCAATCTTACGGTACTCACGGCCTAAGGAGCAAGCTTCCATATTTTTTTTTCAGAGCAGCATTGGCTCATACGGTACAATGTGACAGCTACGAATGTTTCCATCGTTGGTGTGGATTGCCTTGCTCATTCTTCCTGCTCCCTTGCTGCCAGAGAGGCTTCTGCGGGCATGAGAGTGAGTGGGTTGGGAGTAGACGTGGGAGGAGACATGATGGAGTGAGAGGACAGACAGGGAGTCGTAAAGCTGGAAGCTGGGCGGAGTGAGGAGGGAGGAAGAAACCAGTGAGATGCAATACGGTGCTGCTGTGTTGCGGTGGGTGTTGAGAGAACGAGTGTGGTGGAGGAACAAACAACAGAGCTATGTTGCAGTGCTCAGATGCTGCTCAAGACTGTGTCACCAGTCATGCAGCTGTGCCTCGGCACTTTCCCTTTTTGAGACTTACCGTACTGTGATAAACCAGATGCTTCTCACCACACTCGTGCAGTTGTGCCATGGCTCGTTGCCTCCCACCATTGCACTCCTTCAACTGCCTCCCCACCTCCGCCCGCTTCTCGCCACACCGCTTCTCCCCCACTGCCAGCTGCTCCTCTGGTAACCACCCAGGGCCATGGGGCGAAGAGACAAGCAGCGGAAGGTGCAAGGGGAGCCGGAATGAGCACATTGCAGATGGTGAGATGCAATACGGTGCTGTGCTGCTGACTGGAAGAATGTCCGAAGATCGGCTAGCACATTGCAGTATGTCACACGCAACACACAGATAGTATTCCACCGGAATGCCTCTGAATGGTTGATCGATATCGGCATGCACAAGTCGTAGATGGATTACTGTCCCAACTCTGCTGCATGTCCGCCGCGCGTCCTTCTGCCCCTCCCGCTCTCCCCCACCCCTTCACCGGCCCTCCCCCTGCCCCTTCCCCTGCCCCTCCCCCTGCCCCTCCCCCTGCCCCTCCCCCTGCCCCTCCCCCTGCCCATCCCCCTGCCCCTTCTGCCCTACGCCTGTCCCCTACTGTCCCCCGACCCACCAACCCATCTCTGTGATCGCGCTTTCCAGTCGCGCCACGTCCCCCAGCGCCCCGCGGAGCTCCGCGTCCAGCTCCTCCGCGCGGCCCTCCGCCAGCCGCGCGCGCTCCTCCGCTGCCACCGCGCGCGCTTCCGCCTCTCTGAGTTCATGACCATCAGCGCGGCACGACCCTGCGCGTGAGGTTACGCGTGACACGCCGGATATTTCGCTCGCGACTGCAGATTTGGTATCTTCCCGTCCAAATTCGTCGCAATTTTCGTGTTCTCCATAAACTGCGCCGCCATCTCCGCTGGTTACCCCAGCTCTGGTCATAGGGTGGTGGGACTGGAAGAGAAAAGCAAGCAAGAGGCACCCTAGGAGGACAAATGGCGGGTGCTTGAAGAGAAATCCCGGGGAGCTTGAGGCCATGATTTCTCCACTGAGCATCAGTTGATGCGCCAGCCGAACAAGGCCCTGGTGGCCCGTGAAGCCTGCGGCAAGTCGTCCTCACCGATCTACGCACGCCAAGCAATACTTGATTATTTATTTGCAATCAACAAAAAATTGGGAGTGATGATATGAAACCACTGGCAATGTTTACGTTAAGTTAAATCTCGATTTCTCCCACAGTGATTTTCAAATATTGCAATAAATCACCCTCAGCATCAGCTTCCCTCGACGGAATCACAAAGCTTGTGGGCGTCACATGTTGAACAGTATCGGCTCAGAAACTGAATTGTCTGAGCTGTCATTGGCGCGCAATGCAATTGTGGAACCTGGCTGGCACGCTCGTGCACTCTAATGGACCGTGCAAGTACACTCTTTTTCTCTATAGAGTGGCATATGTTAGACTGACTGAGATGCCTAGTGTAGCCGCAACTGGCATATGCTTCCTATCACATGCGTCATAGTGACAATTTGACCCAAGGCAGTCAGTCAGGGTTTCAAATTTTATAAAATGGTACTGTCGTTTTCAAAACGGTTGGGACAGCTATTCAGCGTTAATGGTTTTTTACTGCCCAAGGCCAAGGCTTGTTTCTTCATGAATGTTTCTTCACCCGCAAGTTTGGAGTGGCCCGGAGTAAACGTCAGCAACGTAACCAGGCAGAAGAGCAGAGCATGTTGGGCAAAATCAAGTTGGCTGGCAAGAGTTGGAAGTGGACAAGTGCATTCGCTGCACTGTGGTCCAAACGGAGGGCGAGCATCTCCCGCCCCTAGACACCATATTTGGAACAGTGCTTCGCTGTTTCCTCAAGCACGGTTACGACCGTTATGATTGTATGCGCTTGCTCACCTCGGTGTGTACTATTAATTAATCATTATAAAAAAAAACCTCGTGCGACTTTGCCCGCAACCGAGTTATCGCACCAGCCCGCTACGTCCAGTGCGCGCGATGGTGAGAAGGGTGAGAACAAGGGTGTATACAGCACTAAGTAACGTACAGTAAAGTCTAAGTACAATAATTCTGGTGTACAGTATACAGCATTTAGCGGGAGGTACACCGTACTGTTTTGGCTGGTGCCTACACAAGATGCTCAACCCCTGCGCGCGAATTTTCCCTTTCTATAATAGAAAGTCTGCACCCGTGTTTTTTTAACTAGCCAGTTGCACCCAAATTACAAGCCCCTCGAGCATGTTGTAGTGGGTATGAACCAATAATAACCACAGTAACCGAAGTCACACAGAAGGGACCGAAGTCAAAATTTCAACGCAGAGTTACAATGTTTTTATAAGCCCCTTTTTGCTACGTGCGACGTTGACGAAATTTGCGAAGTTCTTAAAACCACCTAAAAGCCCTTTTCACAAGGCAACCTTGGGTTAGTCAAACGAGCATCGTGTGACGTCGAACGTCTCGCCTCGCCTTGCCTCGCCTCGCCTCGCCTCCACTGTGCTCACTGCGTGGGTTCACTGACAGACGTTCACCTCTGACGGAATGTGGCTGCATTGCACACGGTCCAACGCCTAGTTGCCAGGCGGGTATATACGTCCCAGAGCAGGGCTCTCCGTTGATCACGCTCCGTTCCTTTTTTTTTTTTTTTGGTTTCTCTCTCTGATATCGCGTTTTTCCGACGCGCGCCCTAGCGCCATCGGGTCTTCGTGTACGCGACATTACGCGAGTCGATCGACTTTCCTGTCCTCTTTCCTGTAGTTATCCTATGCCCACCCGTTCAGGCATCCACGCTGCGTCTATCCGAGTCGTCAATTTCGCAATCCAGGAACCGCCAGTGACGTCTTAGACGAACAGACCAATAATTGGCCGCGGCTGGGGATTCAACATTCGACCGTTGGCCAAGCAGCGATCGGGTTACCGTGTCAATAAGTAAATCCTGTTTGCATTCGCGCAGCGTCCGGCAGCCTTCGTGGAAGAGCCACCGCCCCCCCCACCCGCCGCCGCCTTCGCCTCCGCGTCCGCGTCCGCCTCCTCCTCCGCCTACTCCTCCGCGTCCGCCTCCTCCAGCCACCGCCTCCACCTTCCGCCTCCGCCACCGCGACCATCAGCGCCACCGCCACTGCCACGGGCTGTCACAGAGCCGAATATTTCTCATCGCCGCTACATTCATCCGATCTCGTCAACTCCGTATCAATCTGTACGAATAAGTACTAAACCGCTGATTAGGCGTCTCCCGCGTGAAAATGAAGGAGGCCGGCGCGAGCAGCAACAGCAGCAGCGGCGGCAGCGGCAGCGGCAGCGGAAGCGGCGGCGAATGGGAGCGCGCGCAGCAGGCGGTGCGCGTGAGCGTGGACCTGGTGGCGGCGGCGCAGCAGCAGTTCCGCCTGCTGCGCGCCGTAGACTGCTGCGCGGGCCTCTACTCCGGCCCTGCCGTGCGCCGCGCCATCCGCAGGCGAGTGACGGTGCTGGGAATCCTCAGGGGAGGGGAGAGGGAAGGGGGAATGGGGGGGGAATTGTGGGGAGGCAGGGTGAGGGAGACGGCGTTGCAGGATTGTGAGTATCTTGCGCAGGAGGAGGCCTGGACTCCGGTCATGGTCTTGTGCTCTTTGTGCTTCTGCTGCTTTGAGACGACTCAAAACAACACTTATTTCGCCTGGACTCAGGTCATGATCTTGTGCTCTTTGTGCTTGCTGCTGCTGTGCTGTTGCGCTCCTGTGCTGCTGTTGTGCGCGGTTTCCCCCATGGGAGCAGGTACGAGCGTTGCTGGCTTCCTCTCCTGGACGAGTTGCAAGGGGGACGGCACGGAGCAGCAGCAGCAGCAGCAACAGCAGCAAGCAGGGGAGGAGGAGAGACAGAGCTGCCATCGTGCCTCGTGCCGCCTCTGGACGTGCACTGGATATGGCTGTGCCACAGACTCGCGCCTGTACGCCACTCCGTTGCTGCTGGCCCTTTGCCTTTCCCATGTGTCGACTTTTGAGGCGCCTCAAAAATGACTTTTGAGGCGCCTCAAAATGTGCCACAGACTCGCGTCTGTATGCCACTCTGTTGCTGCTGGGCCTTTGCCTTTCCCATGTGTCGTTCTGGGGATGATTTCCGAGGTCGCTGCATTGCACGGTTTTTCCTCTTGTTGTATAGTCCTTCAAACTGCGCTGCTGCTGCAGCAGCAGACTCAGTGCATGATTGCGTTGCGCAGGCTTGTACAGTCATCCAGGGGTGCTCACATCACATCCACGTGCGCTGCAGCCACACCTGTGTATACAGCTCCTCCTGTTGCTTTCCCCAACTTTCTTTCCGCCGTTTTCAATTTCCTACCCAACCACTCTTCCCTCCTCTCCCCCCCCCCCCCCCCTCCCTTCCCTCCCCATCGCTGCCCACTCCTCCTCACCCCAGGACGTATATGCCCGGGACTGCTTGGAAATGTTCTCCAAAGTTCTCGACTGCCCTCTCCCCCTCCTCGACCCCGCCGCTTCCTCCTCCTCTTCATCCTCCTCCACCTCCTTCTCCTCCTCCTCCTTCTCCTCCTCCGCACACTCCCCGCACTCCCCATCCCTGCTCTCCCCTCCCACCCCCTCCATGCACTCGCACTCGTTCCGCCAGTATGCAGCAGACCAGCAGCAGCAGCAGCAGGCGGAGGCAGTGGCGGTGAGTCGGCGTGTGTGGAACGAGAGGTGGCCGGGGGACCCATACGACCTGCACTTCTTCCAGCCAGCCGCTAACACTGCTGCCGGCGCTGCTGCTTCCCTCGCCGCCTTGCACCTCCCGCCCAGCCTGCTCGGTGCTTCCTCTAGCCTCCGCTCCACGCCTTCCTCTCTCTCGGTTGAGTCTCCTCGTGCTCCTCCTCCTGCTGCTGCTGCCACTGGCGGTGCTCTTGGTAGCAGGGCGGAGCAGGAAGGAGGGGAGTGTGCGGGTGGGGAGGAGGCAGCAGCAGCGTCAGTGCAGGAGAGGATATCGTATGATCTAGAGGCAGCGGTGGCGCGGCAGGCGCGGTTCTTCCACGAGATAGCGCGCCCACACATGCACGACGCCAAGTACCTCGTAGGAGCCGTCGAGCGCTATAAGGCGTTTCTCTGGATGCTCAAACACCAACTCCCTGCTGCCAACTCCGCTGCTGCTGCTGCTGCTGCTGCTGCTGCTGCTGGTGGTGACGGCAGTGGTGGGGCGGGCAGCATGTTTATCCCTGCTCTTGACATTGACTTCGTGTGGCATGCACATCAGGTGAAGCTCGCAAGGTGAAACAAACCCAGGGACTGACTGAACAGCTTTGTGGTTGAACACAACACAACACAACACAACACAACACAACACAACACAACACAACACAACACAACACAACACAACACAACACAACACACCTCAACTGCCCAGTTACAAGTCATACCCCTTGGGCCCCTCTCTGTGTGCAGCTCAACTCCCCTTTCTCGCTTCCATGCTCCATGCAAACCCCACTTTCTTTCAAACCCTTCTCCCCCCCCCATTCTTCTCGTTTCTGCAACTCATTCAAGCCCTTGTGTCGCTGTCTCATCTCCCCTCCCCATGTGCAGCTCGCGCCTCTCGCATATGCACACGACTGTAACGCCCTCCTGGGCCGCCTGCTCGCCCACCACGACTCCCTCCCGGACCACCACGCCCCTCCGCCCTCATCCCGCGCGCCCCTCTCCTCCGCTGATCAGCAGCAGCAGCAGAGCCCATCTCTCGCGTCTGCCACCCAATCCACGGCCGCCACGTGGCTGCGCTTCTACGGCCGGCCCTACGCGCGAGCAGGCACCATCCGCAAGGAGCCCCCGCCCGCTCCCTTCCCATTCCCCCCTCCCATCAAACCCAAACACGGCGTAGGAGCGGGAGCAGTAGGGGGAGGAGGGAGCGGAGCAGGGAGCACGGCCAGTGGGGCGAGCAGCACGGGCACAGGAAGCCACCTCCCTTCGGGAAGCAGTTCCCGAGGGACCTCTAAGATCGCCTCTCCAGTGTCCTCGCCAGGAGCGTCCCCGATACAAGACACGCGGGGCGATCTGCGTACCGACATTCCCCCTCGGCACGTGTTTGACGCCACGCTCTCCCTCCTCTCCGTCTCCTCCCTGCCTGCCTCCCTCAAAGGCGACCTCTCGCTTCAAATCTCTGCCCTCTCTGCCTGCCCCTCGCTCCGCCTCCGCTCCCACAAACTCCCACTCCCTCTCCCTCTCCCCTCCCCATCATCCACCCCTTCTCAATCCCTCCCTGCAAACGAGCACCCATGGCCGAGCACTCCCACGTGGTGGCTATCACTAGACGTGGAGACCAAGGGGGTGGTGTTGCAGTTGCTCCTGGAGCCGCCAAAGGGCCGGCTGTCAGGGATAGCGGGCATGGCAGGGATGGGCGGCGCACACAAGGCGAGGAGTCTGGGCGAGGTGACGGTTCTGTGGAGCGATGTGTTTGCTGCTAAGGACCTCTCGTGGCATGGTGCTCTGGCGCTGGGGTCGGGCGCAGGAGCGGGTGGAAAGGTGAGGGCGGTGCCTGCAGGTGAGGGGTTGCCTTCAGGTGACGGTCCTGTGGGGCGATGTGTTTGCTGCTAAGGACCTCTCGTGGCATGCTGCTCTGGCGCTGGGGTCGGGCGCAGGAGCGGGTGGAAAGGTGAGGGGCTTTGATCCGCTCTGCTCTCATTCGCCCCCCCTCTTTTCCCCATCTCTCCCTTTTCTCTCCCCCATGCCACACACCATGTGAGGCGGCTACAATACATTGTGCACATTCGCTTCAGTCCGTTTATTGTGCTGTGCTGCGCTGTGCACCCTGGCCATCAACAACAACCACTCCCGTGTGCTGACATTGTGTCCCTCCCTCCCTCCCTCCCTCCCTCCCTCCCTCCCTCCCTCCCTCCCTCCCTCCCTCCCTCCCTCCCTCCCTCCCTCCCTCCCTCCCTCCCTCCCTCCCTCCCTCCGTCCCTCCGTCCCTCCCTCCGTCCCTGTGGGGGCTCATGCTCTCGTCCCTGTGGGGGCTCATGCTCTCGTCCCTTCGTCTGCCACCAACAGGGTTCCTCCGAAAATCCCCATGTGCGCATTCACGTCACCGCCACACCACCTCAGGTACTCTCCCTCTCCATCCTGCCGTGCCCTGCCCTGCCCTGCCCTGCCCTGCCCCCCTCTCCTGACAGCCTTTCCCAGCTTTTCCCATCCATTCTTTCCCTCGTCCGCCTCCCTCTCGCCTTCCTCATTCTCCCTCAGGAGCCCATCTAGTGATGGATGGGCTCCTGAAGATGGGGAGCCTTCCTCATCCTATTCCCTTTTTAGCCTCCTCCCGATCCCCTGCTCCCTCTAATTTCTCTCCCCTCTTCTCTCTTCTTTGTGTGTTGCCCCACCCAGCCGGCACCAGTGCTGCTGATGCTGCAGCCAGCAGTGGGCACGGACGACAGTGGGCTGCAGCTCACAGCAGCAGCAGCAGCGGTGCTGAAGCAGCAGCAGGAGGGGCGGTGGATGGCGCGCACCGTGGTGGACCACACTCTCTCAGAGCGCTTCGTCCTGCGCACGCGGTGAGATGCGATTTCCTTGCTGAATTTGAGTCGCTTTTGAGAATTCCAAAAGCGACGCAGATTCACCCGGTGAGATGAGATCCCCTTGCTCTTTGTAACTCTGACTTGAGGCACGCTTTGGAAAGGGCCAGTATTAGCAGCAGAAGCAGCAGGAGCAGCCTGCAGGTGCCAAAGGCTCGCCAGGCCACAAGGGAAGCAGCAGCACTATGCCGTGGCAGCCGTGTCAGGTCAGCTCAGCCATTACCCCTTCCCCCCCAGTCTCCCTCACCCCGCTCCCCCCACTTTTCCTTCCCCCCACCCATCTTCCTCCGTCCGTGCCCCTGCGTGGGTGTAGGGTGGCCAAGGGGCATGGGTCACAGCAGGTGGAGGTGCCACCTGAGTCGAAGCGGGTGCTGCTGCACCGGGGAGGCTGGTCGCCCTCTCCCAAGGTCAAAGGCGCTCTCGTGGCTGCTGGTGCGTGCACTGCACTGCACTTCAATGCACTGCACCGCACTGCACTGCACTGGATGCGTCCCATTCCATTTGATTGCTTACCATCCCATTCCATTGCACCCCATCCCACCCCACCCCAACCCATCCACTCTTCCCATGCTCCCTTGTTAAGTCCTCTCCTCTCAATCTCCTTCCCTTGTCTCTCTCCTCCCCCACCCCCCCCCTTCCCCTCTACCTGTTTCGCTCTCCCTCGTACCCCCGACATCCCGTGTCTGCATCCCTGTCCGCATCTCCCTGTCAGGGGAGCGAGTGGACGAGGTGTGTCAGCTCAGGACACACCACACCATGGCAACGCAGCGCACCTGGATGGCCTACTCCGGCTGGACACTCCAAGTCTCCCTCCGCCACTTGCACCTCCCCTCTGCCTCCTCACTCCCCTCCTCCGCCTCTCTCTCTGCTTCCACCTCCTCCTCGTCTGCATCCTCCTCAGCTGCCAGTGCGCCGGCCTTCCCGGGCCTGCGATACCATGTGGCTAAGGTGCCAGGGCCACCGGTGCGTGCGTGCTTGTCACCAGCTTTGCTACATGCTCCTGCCCACTGCTCACTACCTCCTGCTGCCACTGCTCACTACCTCCCGCTACTCCTTCCTGCCCACTACCTCCGTCCACTCATCTCACATCATATTCAATTCTACTCTAAACAATTTCTCAATATTCCACCCTTTCCCCCCCCCCTTCCCACGCATCCTGCCCTCAACACCCCCAACTCATGACCACCCCCAGATGGCTCTCGCTCCCGGTCGTCGACTCGCCTACGCCCGCCCTCTTTCCTCCCTCTCCCCTCTCCCCGCCTCCTCCTCCGCACTCCTCCGCTCGTCCAGCACAGTCGGCGCAGCACCGGCGCATGGGGGCAGGGGGGGGAGAGGCGGAGCAGGCGCAGGGGGCGGAGGGTCCGAGGGGGAGGGTGAGGACAGGGAGGGGGAGGAGGCGGGGTATGTGACAGTGGTGCGGTATCCAGAGGACTGCCCTGGGGGAGTGGCCACTGCACTCTTCAACTGGCGCACGGGGGGGATTGAGGTGTGCAGTATTAGCTGGTGTGTGTGTGTGTGTGTGTGTGTGTGTGTGTGTGTGCGTGTGTGTGCGTGTGTGTGCGTGTGTGTGTGCGCGCGCTTGTGCGCATGTGCGCATGTGTGTAAGAGCCTCGCCCTCCTTACCACGTGATGTGTGTAATCAAGCCCGTCCATCCATCCAGCCACCATCCCCTCGGTCCTCTCGTTGCCTCTACGTCTCACACGCTCTTGAGACATCCCAATCAGCTTCGTCACCCTGTCAAGCTATCCACCACTGCATCGCAGACTCTCCAGTCGATCACCAGTCAATGTTCAGTCGATTCTCCTCATTGCCCCATACCCCCCTCCCCCACCTGCAGGTGCAAGCGCACGAGCGGCTGGATGTGGTTGTTCTCATGGCAGTGGCGGTTGTGACTTTTGAGGCGCCTCTAAAGCTTCACCCCCCGATCCATACCCCTCCCTCCCCTGCAGGTGCAACCGCACGAGCTGCTGGATGTGGTGACGCTGATGGCAGTGGCAGTGGCGACTTGTGAGGCGCCTCTAAAGCCCCCCCCATCTACGTCCTTCCCCCCCCCCACCCCCACCCCCCCCCGCAGGTGCAACCGCACGAGCGGTTGGATGTGGTGGCGCTGATGGCGGTGGCAGTGGCGCAGTCATGGCACGACCTGCACCTCGCTGCCACCACGGCCGGCACTGCCAGCGCTGCCAGTGCGGCCAAGAAGAAGAGCGCTGGCAGCACGTCGGCTAAGCCTGCCCCTGTCAAGATCGTTCCCTCTAAGCTGCCGCGCCGTGCTGCTTCTGTGGGCAAGGATGACCGATGGGGTACGTGGATAATGGTGATTTTGGAGCATGGTGATTCTGGAATGCATGTGATTAGTGTGTGTGTAGGTGTGGTTTGGTTGACCATGGGTGGACGGTATGTGTGTGTGTGTTTGCGTGTGTGCGAGCGTGTGTGTGGGGTTGCGTTGTTATCCCAAGTTCACACACCTCACTCACTCCCCTCCGCAATCTAATCCCAGGTTCGGTGGTCGTTGACCCATCACCCCCAGAAGCCATGACACCCGACCCGCCTCTCCATGATTGGTTCTTGTCACGCATGCTGATGTGGCACGACTCGCCGCTCTATAACACCACCGATGTGGGTGGTTCTTGCGCAGCGCTCCTTGGGGGGAGTGCTTGTGGAGCAGGGTGATGTGAGCATTGAGCAATGCACATAGTAGTTTACAAGAATGTGCGCCTATATATTTAGGTAGTGTACGCACTACATGTAATACTGGTAGGTAGTTAAGAATGTACCATGCAGCTGCTGCTAGGTTAAGATAAGGGAGTAGGAAAAAGGAGCCTGCATGCGAGTCGCATGCACTTCCATCTTATAGGAACAGGGTCAAAAGAAATTTGAACATGCATGTTTGCATAGACAGAGCCACGTATCACTAGTAGCTTTGCTGGATGGGTGGATGGATGGAGAGGGAGGTTAAAGGTGTGGGGCTGTGTAGCACTGTCAATGAGCATGCTAGAGACACGTGGTGGGTGGTTTGGCCAGAAAACTGTAAGAGAAAGCTGGAAGTAGTTTATGTTGCCAACAAATGCAAGGTCTGGTATCATATGCGCATGCTAATATATTAAACTGTACTCTATGAGTCTCATGACTGTAATATAGCTCGACGTCGGGATATCGGATTCTTTCATTCCGCGTTCTCAAGTACAGAGATGTGAAAGTTGTGCATGGCGTCGTGTAGTGTAGCAGCCCGCCCGCAGATCGAGGGGACGACACTCCAGTCGATCGAGACATCTCCCATGCGAAACTTGCCTTTTGGGGATTGGGGTGAGGAGGACATGACGGTGATGTGACGTGACGGGGGGGGAGAGGTAGACGAGATAAGCTGTGGTGTGTCCGCTCCGCGACCGCGGCCTACCGATGTAGCTCTCTCCGCACTCCTCTCCACTGCACTCCAATGCACCCACTCCGCCCCTCCTGTCCTTCTGCTCTTCCTTTTACACTCGTGGCGTGATTCATTTGTGCTCTTGAACGGATTTGCGAAGTGCTCGTGAGCGGATTTAGCGGGCTTAGCACGTATCCTCTTCGTGCATATCCCCTTTGCGTCCTAAGCTCCTCCAGCGTTTGAAGGCTGCTCGCGTGTTGGGACGCCTCAAACCCCTCAAAGCTCGCTCTCTAGGCCTGCTTGCCGCGCCGTTGAGAAGCCGCGGCTCGGACGTTCGTCGTTGTGGTAGTAAACCAAGGGGGGGGAAGGGGGGACAGAGGGAGGAAAAAACGATGGCTGGCGGAAAGAAAAAAGGCGGGAAGGCCGCGAAATCCGCGGCGCTGGCGGAAGAGAAGAAGCAGCAAGAGCAGCAGCAGAAGCAGCAGCAACAGCAGGAGGAGGAGGAGGAGAAGGAGAAAGAGGACGTAGCGTGCGCTCTAGACCCGGATGTGGCGGCGGCGCTTGCGGCGCTCATGGTTACCATCGACTCCCCGTTAGCGCGCTGCGTCGTCCGCGACGACCGCCGCGAATTGCGGCGTGTGATCCGGCAGGCGCTAGAAGCGCTCGGTCTAGCGGAGATTCTAGTGGTGGAAGCTGGGGAGGACGAAGAGGAGGAGGAGGGGAAGCGGGAGGAGGAGGAAGAGGGGGCGAGAGAATGGAAAGAGGTTGAGTTGGCTCAAACGGGAGGCATGGGAAGGGACTGGAAAGGGGGGAAGGGGAAGGAAAAAATCAAGGGGAAGAGTAAAGGAAAGGGAAAGGGGGGGAAGGAGAAAGGGAGAGGGGGCAGGGGGGCGGGAGAGGCGGACGAAGAGGGAGGGGAGGGGAAGGGGAAGAGGGGGGAGAGAGAGTTGAAGTTGGAGAGGGCTGGGGAGGTGGTGCGACGTGCACTGGCGTGTGCTTGTGTGTGCGATGCCGTGGCGTGCTGCCAGGCTGTCATCGCCATCACGCCTGCTGGTGCTGACGTGGAGCCTAGTCACGTGAGTGTGCCGGTGACATGCTCTGGAAGTGGATGGATCAGGGATGGGGTTGTGGAAATGCGGGGATGAGGGGAAATGGGGATGGGGGAACAGGGGGAGGGGGGAATAGGGGGAGAATAGATCGGGGATAAGGGGTTTGGGGAGATGAGGATGGGGAGATGGATAATCATAGATGCATGCGTGCATACATGCGCTGCATGGACAAACATGCGTGAACAGATGAAGCAGGTACACGGACATGCATTCAGGTGGGTGGTGGGAGGGAGTGGTGCGTGCAAGAACGCACAGCTCCTTCGATCCCACCTTCTCCTCTTTACCACATGTCTTCCTCATTCCATAACTCAGAGTCTGAATATCCATATTCCCTTCTTTCTTCCCTCCCTGTCCCACCATTCCTGTGCCGTCCTGTGCACCCGTGCCCCCCACCAGCCGTGTTGGGTGGTGCGAATGGATGAGGACACGGCGCGAGCTGCACAGCACGGCAGGCGACTTTTGAGACGTTCAAAACCCTGTTTATCCAACCTGCCCCCGTCCTGATCACCCCTGCCCCCGTCCTCTTTACCCCTGTCCCCGTCCTGTTCACCCCTGCCCCCGTCCTGTTTACTCCTGGCACCCAACAGCCGTGCTGGGTGGTGCGAATGGACGAGGTCACGGCGCGAGCTGCACATCACGGCAGCAGGCACCACCACGTGGGTGCGCTCACAGCGCTGCACATGGCCGCCCGCTTCCACAGGTGTGCGTACTCGCCTCCTGGCCCCATGGAGGCCCACCGTGCGGACTGGTGGGGGAACTGGTGGGTGGGGCATGCATGCCACGTGTTGGATATTCAGTGTTCACTTCACAGCACTTGCCTTGCTGATCAGACACACACATGGTGCCTGCCATGCCACTTGCCCTGCACATCCCTCCCTCCACACCAATCTCTCCACCTATCCCACCCATACCTGCACTGCGTGCCGCCTCCCTATGAGTGTCTCAAAACGCGCCTCTTTTCTCCCTCCCCCTCTCTCCCTCTCTTCTTCCCTCCCCCGTGTGGTGCGCATGTGCATGCACACACAGTGCTCGGTGCATCGCTGCACTGCTGGCAGCAGGGGCAGACGCGAGCCTGGCAGCGGGGCCGCTGGGGCTCACCGCTCTGGAGGAAGCTCTGCTCTCCAAGCGACTGCATGTGAGTGTGCAGGGGATTAGCAGGCGAGTGGGTGGGTAAAGACGCACCCATGCTGACAGGTGCAGTGTAGATTCCATCCGCATCCTCATCTCATTACGTCCCCCCCCTTTTCCTGCTAACCTTCCCTTCTGCCCCCCTCGTGCAGTTTGACTGGGGGGCGCAGACAGCGCCGCTGCGAGTGGTGAACACGCTCAGGCACGAGCGCAACCTCGACTCCATCCGCCTGCTGCACCAGGTACCCATGCCGCGTGCTGCTGCTGCTGCTGCTGCTGCTGCTGCTGCTGCTGCCCCTGCCGCCCCTTTGCACGCGCCCATGGTTCCTGTCCTCGAACGCCCCGCTCATCCCCCGTTCTCCCCCAACCTCCGCCTCTTTTCTCTTCCACTTCATCTCTCCTACCCACCCGCCACTTCCTCTTACCTCCCCTTCCCACACCCCCTCCCGGCAGCACGCGTCCGACGCTCTCCGTGTGGCATTCACGCTAGCTGGCTGCTTCCGCCTGGTCCCCCTGGTTGCGCTGCTCCTCTCCGGGGGCTCACCCTTAATGAACGCAGCCGTGCCCCCGTCGCAGCACCCCTGGTTCGCCGCTGTCTCTCTGGGCGCCTGCCAGTGGATGCACGGTCACCCCTCACTCACCCTCCTGGATGTCATCCTCTCCAACCTTCTCGATCTCTCCCGCGTGCCGTTGGCAAGGGGTCGTGGGGGTGAGGTAGAGGAGGAGGATGAGGAGGAGGAGGATGAGATGTTCTTTGATGCTTGTGAGGAAGGGGATGGGGTTTCGTCGCCGAGATCCTGTGACCGGAGTGTGAGGAGTGAGCGGAGTGAGCGGAGTGAGAAGAGTGAGCGGAGCAGGAGGGTGCATCATTCCAAGCGTGCGGCGTGGCTGGGCGCGATGGGGGTAATGCTGCTGGAGCCATGGCAGGAGGTGCTAGTGGGCGAGCAGGAGAAGGAGCAGCAGGAGCGCGAGCAGCAGCAAGTGCTGCGACTGCTGCACGCAGAGCGAGACGAGAGGAGAGAGAAGCACGAGACTGAGCATGGCAACGGCAACGGGGTGGAGGAGAGCAAGCAGGGGAAGAAGAAGAAGTCAGCCAAGGAAAAGCGAGCAGCAGAGGCAGCGGGAGGAGGAACCGCAGGAGCAGGAGGAGCAGCAGCAGGAGCGGCAGAGGCACGGTGTCAGGAGCTGCGCATGAGAGGGCTGAAGGTGCTGGAGGCGTTTCTGCTGTTCAACCCGCCGCTGGCAGGCCACGGGCCGAGCGTGCACCAGGTGCCGGTGGTGCGAGCAGCAGCGGGCAATGACGGCATGGTGGTGGGGCTGCTGCTGGACGCCGGTGCTTCTGTCAATGACAGCGACGGCGATGGCAACACCGCACTGCACTGGGTGCTCCGACAGGTGCGGTGGGGAGGGGAAGGGGGGGTGAGTTGGAGTTTGTGCTCGGTGAGGGGTGAAGAGGTGGGGTTCGGGACTGCAGGTAAGGGGTTGAGGCAACAGGTGGGGGGTTGTTGGTGCAACAGGTGCCGAGGGTGCCGGTGGTGCGAGCAGCAGCGGGCAATGACGGCATGGTGGTGGGGCTGCTGCTGGATGTGGGTGCGGCTGTGAATGTCAGCGATGGGGACGGCAACACTGCTCTGCACTGGGTGCTCCGACAGGTGCGCTGCGGTGCGGTGCGGTGTAGATGGGGGGAGACGACGGATGGGCGCAGCTTGGAAGAGGCCGGGTGGGGGGGTGAAGTGATGCTGCTTGCTAGGAGCCGTGGGTTGTGTGGCTAGGCGCCCCAGCAACCTCGTCCGTGTTTCATTCCCTCTAACTCTCTGCCATATCCTTCTTTCCGGGCCTCGCCTCCACCCACACCGTCCCGTTGAATCAAACCCCCCACCCCAGGCGACCCCATGGAACGGGCGGGCAGTGGACACGACCATTCTCTCACAGCTCATATCAGCGGGCGCGAGTGTGCTGGCAGGGAACCACGTGGGGGCGACAGCGGTGCATACAGCAGCAGGCCACGGACACAGTGAGGCGCTGGATGTGCTGCTGGGGCGAGAGGCCGCTGCTGCCAACGCCGTCACTGCTGCCCGCGAGACTCCCCTGCACTACGCCGCTCGGGTGAGCTGAGCGCTGCGGGTGGGCTTTGTTGTTGCTTGTTTCCTGCACGGCTTTTGAGTGTTCGAGAGTTCTCAGAATATCGGGGAAATTCTGCGGCGCTACGCTGCTTGGTTGAGGAGGGAGGGGCGGGGAGATGGACGGGAGGGGGTCTGGGAGGAGAGGAGTGGTGAGAATGAGTGTTTTGTGTTGGTGCTGGTGCTGGTGGTGCCAGGTGGGTGGGCGTCTGATAGATGGTGGTGAGTGGGGAAGTGAGTGGTGGAGAGGAGCGTATGCGTTGAACCAAGCAACTCTTTCTCTAGTGAGAATTGTACCCTGTTTCGTACATCCCTTTAAATCCAGAATGCGCAGACACTGGACAACCCCTGCTGAATTACCCGCTCACCTCCCTCCTATTCCTCCCCCCACCTTCTTCCCCTTCCCCCCCCCCCTCCTTCCCCACCCCACATCAGCACGACCACGTGGCATGTGCGGCGGTGCTGCTGGCGTTTGGTGCATCCAACAGCGTGGAAAACGCAGGAGGGTGGAGGCCCGGCCAGCTCGCCACATCCGCAGAGCTCCGCCAGATGCTGGGCGAGACTGGGCCCCCCATGCCCCGGGGCGAGGCCGCGTGGGCCGCATGGGGTGCTGCTGGGGACCCTGCTGCTTCTGATGGGGATGGGGATCAGCCTTGGGATGCCTCTGTTTCTGCTGCTGCTGCTGCTGCTGCTGCTGCTGCTGCTGCTGCTGCTGCTGCTGCTGCTGCTGCTGCTGCTGCTGGTGGGGCTGGTGCTCCTCCGTGGGCTGACTCGTTGCATCAGCTGCGGCTGGGGTGGAAGGAGACGCAGCAGCAGCAGCAGAAGCAGAGCTATGTTGGAAAAAACGCGTATTGCGTTTTTCACGCAAGCGTTTTTTCCAGAAAGTATATACGAGAAACGCGAGAATATGAGAGGCATATACGCAGCAAAAACGCAGGTCCGGGCAGGGGTAAAAAAGTTTCGGGGCAGCGAAAAAACCATGTTTAGGGGGGGGGGGGTTAAAAAAAAAAACTCCCATCACATTTTATTAATACGCCTACTACAAAAGAAAATGACCGACTAGACATTCCATGTTAGCATCACTACCTCTTTCCCTCTCCCTACAGGACACTATTCTCATACTACTACATAGTGCATCCTACACCCCCCCCCCGCCCCTTGTTGCATTGCACCTACTACACATCAAGGTACTTCCACCTCCCCCACGGCAGGAAAGCAAGCACTTCTCAAATTGAGGACTACTCATACTCATCGTTCATGATGACATCCTCCCCCTGGTCCGCCTCCTCCTCCCACCCCTCTTCTGCCACCTTGTACCCCTCGGGAAGGGGAGGGGCCTCAATGTCGAAATTGGTGAGCAAGTAACTCGATTTTGGCCCGCATGTAATTCGATTTCGCGATACGCAGAAAACGACCAGAATACGCACCTTTTTTTTTTTAGGTCTGCCCGTGCGGATTTTTGCGTTTCTACACCAAAAACGCAGCGTACGCGTTTTTGGTGCGTTTATACTCAAAACGCAACTGAACTTTAGCGTTTTTTCCAACATAGAAGCAGAGGCAGAAGGAGCAGAAGAAGCAGCAGAAGGAGCAGCAGCAGCAACAGCAGGAGCAGCAGCAGCAGCAGCAGAAGGAGCAGAAGCCGGGGTACAATCCAAACTACAAGTATAAGACGATGCTGTGTCGGCGCTGGTCCAGCACAGGCTCTTGCAGCCTGGGCTCGCAGTGCACGTTTGCACACGGGCAGAAGGAGCTGCAACAGGTGCCCAAGCCATCCCCCCGCGGCCCATCAGCCTGGAAGAATGCCACCAGTGCTGCTCCTGCTGCAGGTGGCGCTGGCGCTGGCGCTGGCGCTGGTGGTGCTGGCTGGGAAAATGCTGCTGCTCCTGGTGCTGCTGGTTGGGATGCTGCTGCTACTCCTAGCGGTGCCGGTGGCAGTGGCGGCGGTGGTGAGAGCAAGGGCGGCGGCAATCTCGTGCCATGGGAGAGCAGCTCGGGCCCCTTGGGCAGCTCAAGCGGAGGAGGAGGGTCATGGGAGTGGGGCGACCAATCAGAGGATTCCAGGAGCACGAGCGCTGGCAGCTGGGGGGTGGCAGCACCAGCAGTGGCAGTGGCAGCGCCAGCGCCGGTGCTGCATCTGCTAGTGGTGGTGGTGGTGGTGGTTCCATTGGTGCCGTTCTAGCAGGGCGAGGCAGCAAGTCTATTGCTCTCTCAGGGGACCTTGCCATGCAGCCCTAGTGAGTCATCTCTCTCACCTTTCTCTGCTCCTGGCTTTCATCTCCCTCTCCACTCCTTCGCCTCTCTCCTCCCCATTTCCTCGCCTCCTCCCCTCCCGCCTCCCCTCCCGCCTCCCCTCCTGCCTCTCCCTCCACCAACAAGCTGCTCCCTTCAAATCCATTCTCCTCCCTTCACTCCCCTTCACTCTCCTTCACTCCCCTTCACTCCCCTTCACTCCCCTTCACTCCCTCCCCTCCCCCTTCCCCCTCTCCTCCCCCCAACCACCCCCGACCCTAATCCTTACAGCAAGATATTCGCGGGGGGATTGCCGTACGACGTGACATCGGATGATCTAGCAGCACACTTCGAGGAGCACTACGGGGGAGTGGTGGACGCGGTAGTGCTGTATGAGCCCGACCGCGCAGCCAGCGAGCCGGGAGCCATGCGCTCGCGCGGCTTTGGCTTCGTGGTGCTGGATTCAAGAGAGACAGTGGCACGCCTACTGGAGAAACACTTTGTGCCGCTGGGGGGCCGCATGGTGGAGGTGAGTGAGTGGGTGGGTGCCTTGGCTGCTTATGATGCGCCTTAGAAGTCATGGGCCTGTGGCTTCGTGGTGCTGGATTCCAGAGAGACAGTGGCACCCCTGCTCGAGAAACACTTTGTGCCGCTGGGGGGCCGCATGGTGGAGGTGGGTGAGTGGGTAGGTGCCTTGGCTGCTTATGATGCGCCTTAGAAGTCATGGGCCTGTGGCTTCGTGGTGCTGGATTCCAGAGAGACAGTGGCACCCCTGCTCGAGAAGCACTTTGTGCCGCTGGGGGGCCGCATGGTGGAGGTGAGTGCCCCGCCACCTACTTTCACCCCCCCGTTCCATTTCAGCATCTTCAGTGCCTTTCTCCCCCCTGTCCGTTTGCCCCCTCTATTCAACATGTCAATCCCTCCTTGTTTTCTCTGCTTGCAAAGCACTTTTTTTTGGGGGGGGAAGGGGGCGCACCTCAAAAGTCGCGTTAATGTGTGTAAACTCCCCTTCCCCTCCCCCCTGCGCTCACTTTTTTCGTCCAAACTCAAACCACAGATCCGAAATGCTTCCAGGCGAGGAGGGTTCTCCCCTGCTACTGCTGTTGCTGTCGCCACCACTGCTCCCACCGCTCCCACCACTGCTCGTCCCTCTGCTAAATCTTCAGCTGTCAACCACACCAGCAGCATCAACAGCAAAGGCACAGTCAAAGCAACAAAGCCCCTCAAGGCTCACTCCTCTCCCCATCCCTCCCCCCATCCCTCCGCGCACCCTTCCCCCCATCCGTCCGCACACCCTTCCCCCCACCCCTCCGCACACCCTTCCCCCCACCCCTCCGCACACCCTTCCCCCCACCCCTCCGCACACCCTTCCCCCCACCCGTCGCCTCATCCCTCTCCCCATCCTTCCTCACACGCGTCCCCTCTCCCCTCGCCCCATCCCTCTCCCAGCCACAAACAGAAACGCCCACCAGCACAGCCGTCCCATGACGTGCCTCCCAATCCCCCAGACACCACCAACCCATCTGCACCGCTCTATCCTGACCAGCCGCACCACCTGGATCATCCAAACCAGCATCACCAGCAGCAGCACCAGGACCCACATCAACCCTCCATAAGACCTCAGCCAGACTCTTGGAGCGGCACTCCTGCTGCTCCTGCTGCTGCTGCTGCTGCTGCTGCTGCTGCTGCTGCTGCTGCTGCTCCTAGAGCTGCTGCTCCTAGTGCTGCTGCTGTTGCGCCTGTTCCTGCACCACATGGAAGCGCAGCGAGTGCAAGGAAGGTGCTGTCGGTGGGTGAGGTTGAGGCAGAGCTGCATCAGCCGGTGCAGCCGCCAGTGGAGCAGCCAGTGCAGCAGCCAGTGCAGCAGGAGCAGGCGAGGGGTGGTGTGGATGCGTGGGGAGGGCAGCAGGTGCACGCACAGCACGCAATTCACAACGAGCTGCTCTTGCAGCAGCAGCAGCAGCAGAAAGAGGAAGAGCAGCGGCGGCAGCAGCAACAACAGGAGCAGCGGGACCAGGAGCATCAGCAGCAGCAACAACTACACCAGCAGCACAAGCAGCAGGCGTATTAACAGCAGCAGCAGAACCAGCACCCAGACTCTCATTTGTTGGAGCAGCAGAGGCAATTGTTGCAGCAGCAGCATGATTTGCAGCAGCAGCTGCTAGCACTCCAGCAGCAGATCCTCCTAAGCCAACACCACCTCGCCACCCCGCCTACTGCCCTCACCTCCTCCTCCTTCCCCACTCCCTCTCCCACAACCACTCTCTTGCCCCCCACCCTGCTCTCAGCATCCACACCTACGGCACCCACGCCTACAGACCTGCCCAGATCTGCTGCGTTCTACCCAGGAGCAGCGGCAGCAGCACACATGCCCATTACAACACATCAGCCGTTCGCGTCGCAGGTTTTCAATCCACAAGCATTCGCTCCGCCTGGGTTCTCATTGCCCGGTGCGGCACATTCACACACACAAGCATCTGCACTGGCGCCTGTCCCTGTGCTTGCAGCACCACATCCCCCTGCAATGATGCAGCCAGCAGCAGTGGGTACGGGAAGGGCAGAAACAGCAGGAGAGGGGGGTGTGGCAGAGGCGGGGGAGGAGGATGAGCTGGCGAGCCTCCTGTCCATGCTGAATGCAACTGGGTGATAAGGCATGATTTTACGAAGCCTTACGTAGAGCAGTGCACAGCACACTTATGATTCTACTATGAAGAGGAGCCTTTGCACAGCGCGGTGCAGAGCAGAGCAGGTGACGCCACGCACATGACAAAAAGTTTGGTACCCTGTAACAGGGGCGCAGCAGTTCACTAACTCACCACTATCCTGTGGTCATTCACTTGTAGGCAGACTGAGCTATCACGAGGTGGAATGGTCATTCCATCGACTCGGGTGGGCATAGATAGTTGAAAGATCATCCTGAGCATCTCACTAGGTTACAGCTTACTAGTGCCACAGTCAGTGCATGTCCTGGGATTTTGAGCATCCTGAGCTTTCAGGGCAAAAAAAAAAGGGTGATTGAACTAGTGTTGTACTAGACCGATTATGTGGAAAAGTAGGTGATCGTTATGGATGAACACCTTTTGACACAGTTAAGCTGTGGTGGAATCTACATGGTAAGCTGGCAGTGCGGTGATGTTTGAGCCCCAATCCAAACCTATTTACGAGCAATTACAATGGGCCCAATGGTGGGTAGGAATCCCTGAGAGGCACCAGAACTGTCTACCATTGGACGAAATCCGTCCGATAATACATGATTTTCACACCCGTGTCACATTTGCTTTACGTAGTCAAGCCAATTATGTTCATCTGAGCGTTCAAAATTTTATTCGTACGATTTCTCGAATTTCTCATACCGGCGCAGATTTGTCTGGGAATGCATACAAGAGGATTTTCGTGTCTGGCTCGAAATATTCTGCGTCCATCCATTTCAAATTCGTCGACATCCCTCGAAGTGAACGTCGAGAAATGCGGAGAAATGACAACCGTCAGAGCTCTGGTAGCACGAAATCCAAGGGCTGAAATGTGTCGATATCCCTCGACGTTCTGTCCAGGGATGTCGTTTTTAGAGAGTTTCATCTCTTTCTTGAATGCGTGGAATTTGTCGGTGAGGCTTGTTGATTCACATTGACTTCTGATCGGGTCACCTTCAAAGTTTCAGTGCACCCAAATCGGCCACGACCAGGGCCGTAGGTGATTGTGTAGTGCTCGAGAATGAAAGCATACTGCATTTGTACGAAAATAGGTCCGATTAGGAATATGTAAGCGCCAGAACCTAAATCGAGCCCTGGAAAACGGGATGCTGTAGTGAAGGGCACCCCATATTTTACATCGCGTAACCGTCTCTAGCCCGTGGTAGTCCAACATACAGGCCAAGGCGGGTGATATGGCTTCCTCCGTACGAGTACGGTACGACATGCTTGAGACAGGGGAGGAGACTCAGCTTCAAGCTGGACCTTCCTCAGACGTTCTCACAATTATTGATGGCACTCAAGCTGGACCTTCCTACGACGTGCCCACGATACTGAAGTGCTTTTGTTCTTCCAGGCAAAGAACCCGGCCAAGCATGTCTTCTTCACCCTGGCCATCTCCAGTAGAAGGAAAACACCAGGAAAGGCGGCGCGCGTGTTAGATCACGGTTCTGAAGTTCGCCCGCCATCCGAAGTAGGGACAATACTGTAGCAACGTACACGTCTGATTGGCTTCCATGCTCCAAGATATCTGGAACCTTGTGTGGTGACCAATGTTCGGGTGTTTTTACACGTCACCGAGGGCCATTTTGGGCTGATGGCGGGCGAACTTCACCCGGAACCGCGACCCCGCACTCTCTTACCCCAGCTCCGCTTTCGCTTCAATTTCCCCCTTCACTAGTACCTGCCCTCCACACCTACGGCCGACGTAGTAGTACTGTAGCAGCGTAAATAAGCTGGCTTGCATGAACATGTATGGCTACCTTGACGGAATCACTGAACCCAAGGTCGGTGACATGACGTCGCCGTTTCACGCGACGTCTCAAGCTCGCAAAGCGCAGGCGTCGCAGAGCGCGGGTGGAATCCGTGCGCTGACAGTATAATAGCACACACCACCGACTATCATGGGCACCAGAAGAGAACATTCAGAATTCAGTAGACGTAGTACTATTGGAACACGAATTTCTTCATACCACGCCCCCAGCCGTCCACAGGTGGTGGTAACCCTAAAGCCGGCAGGCACAACACCCTCCGTAACAATTTGTTGGACCCGCCATTTTCACCGTATCGAACCACCCCGTGGTTGCTCCCCTCGATTACTACTAGCACCCATCCATATATATGCCCAATCCATTCCAGTTCCAAGTATCGCTCGCAGCAGTACTACTAGTATACTTTTCACCGTCGCACAGTCACCGCAGCGGTTGCACCCCGCATACCCTCATTACTGCCATCATGGCCTCCGTCGCTCGCCCGCCGACTTCTCGCACCAGCCACCGCCGCTCCGCCTCTTGCCGCCGCTTCCGCGCATTGTCTCCGCTCTCCGCGGTGCTCCTCGCCGCGTGCTGCCATCTCGCGCTCTCCAGGGACCGCGGAGTCCTACCCGTGGCGCGTGCGACGCCGCAAGTCCCGTGGGATAACTTCACCTCGCCGTGCACGCCGCTCCCGGACCCTCCCCCCGCCGGTGCGTCACAGCCCGCCGTGACGGTCGTCGCGAATCCCGCAGCACACGCTGTCCAACGCAGTGATTATAAGAGGGGGATGGTCGCCGCTCACCTGGTGTTGCACTCGTTTATTATCCGTTCTTCTCTGCTCCTCTCTTCCTATCTCCGCCCTCTCCCTCCTCCCTTTTTCCCCACGCCCCGTCCCGTTCTCTCATCCCTTGCCCCCCTTCCCCCCATTCATCTCCGCTTCTCCTTCTCTCCCCCCTTCTCCCCCTCCAGGCTTCAATCTGTGGAGCGACGCGGCAACGTGGCCGGGGGGAGTGGTGCCGGGCGTGGGGGCGGGCAAGGGCGCCAACGCCACCATCCCGTGCGGCGTGGCCGTGCTTCTCGACATGCCCTCTGTCGTCCTCTCCACTCTCACCATCCGGGGCATGCTCAAGTGAGTAGGACTGAACAGTGTACAGGAATGAGGAGTGAACAAGAGGGAGAAGGCTCCAGTCTTCATATTCTCTGCACCGTTTCCACCCTCTTCTTCCCCCCCTGCCCCCTAAATCCCCCCTAAATCCCCCCCGTCCCCCATGCCTCCCCCCATGTGCTATTGGCAGGATCGAGGACACGCCGTCACGGCCGCTGGTGCAGGTGAACGCGTCGTTTGTGATCGTGGAGGGGCAGCTGATCGCAGGCAGCAGCGCAAAGCACTTCTCTCAGAAGGTCGTCTTCACGCTCACGCACAACCCCAACGGCCGCGCGCCCTACCAGTACACCGCCAACGCACCCGCTGACCCCGCCAACCCCCGCAACTTCGGCCACAAGGCCTTCGTCGTGGTGGGAGGGCAGGTGCGCATGCACGGCATGCCGGGGGGCTCCTCCACGCCCTCGTGGTGCCGCCTGGCAGCGACAGCACAGGCGGGCGATACAGCCATCCTGGTGGACCGGGACGTCTCCGCATGGCCCGTGGGCTTCCATGTCGGCCTCGCCTCCACCGACTTCTATCCCGACCAGATCGACGTCGCCAAAATCGTTGCTGGTGAGTGAGTGGGCCTGTGTTGGGACCTCTCAAGAGTGCCTTTCACTGCTTGTCCCTCTCCCCTCTCTCAGCCAGTTTCCCTTTTGCCGTTCACTCTAGTCTCTGGTGGGCTACCGAGCTGGTAGTGCAGCAGCCCATCTCTCTCGCGCCGTCTCTCATACACTCCCTCCCTCTCTCCTGCTTCCTCTCATTCGCCCCATCTGCTTCACCCTCCTCGTCGCAACTTCCCCCCATGCCAGCTGCTCATGTATATGCGAAATTTTACCAGATTCTGCATCATCACCATCACCCTGCTCCCCCTTGCTGCAGTGACGGCGGTGGGCGGCAGCAAGTGGAAAGTGGCGCTGAGCGCGCCGCTCTCCTACAGCCACTTCGGAGAGGTGGTGCCCGACGGGTTCGGCGGCACGATAGACGAGCGCGGGGAGGTGGTGCTACTCAACCGCACAGCGACCATTCGAGGGGAGGACGAGGCGGCACCTTACAACTGGGAGGGCGGGCACTTCATGGTGTTCTTCACTCAGACCGCGCAGCTGATAGAGGGCGTGGAGTTTGCCCAGATGGGGCAGCAGGGGCAGCTGGGGCGCTATAACATCCACTTCCACCTCTGTGGGAATCAGGCGGGGAGGAGCGTGGTGCGCAAGAACGTCATGCATGACAGCAAGCAGGTGGGTGCTGTTTGCTGGCTGCTGCGTGCTTCGTGCTGTGTGCTGTGTGCTGGATTGATTGATTCCACTCTGAGCGTGCCTTGCCTGTACACAGACTTTCTTTCTGCGAATCTTTCCATGTCCTCAAGGTGACTTTTGAGTCGACTCAAAAAGTACACGTCCACTGATTGTCCATCCCTCCATCCTCGTCCCCTCTCCTTCTCTCCTCGTTCCTTTCCCCCCGCTCTCTGCCTCCCCACTGCCCCCTTCTGCTCCCGCCCCCCACCTTCCACCATGCAGCGCTGTGTGGTGGTGCACGCCACCTTCAATCCTCATCGCGTCCCCTTCTCACCCCCCTCCCCCATGCAGCGCTGTGTGGTGGTGCACGCCACCTTCAATCCTCATCGCGTCCCCTTCTCACCCCCCTCCCCCATGCAGCGCTGTGTGGTGGTGCACGCCACCTTCAATCCTCATCGCGTCCCCTTCTCACCCCCCTCTCCCATGCAGCGCTGTGTGGTGGTGCACGCCACCTTCAATCCTCATCGCGTCCCCTTCTCACCCCCCTCCCCCATGCAGCGCTGTGTGGTGGTGCACGCCACCTTCAATCTGACGGTGGAGGAGAACGTGGCGTTCAACACGAGAGGGCATTGCTTCATGGTGGAGGAGGGCGGCGAGCAAGGCAACTCCTTCATCCGCAACGTCGGCATCTGGACGCGCGCAGGTAAGAACGTCGGCATCTGGACGCGCCCAGGTAAGAACGTCGGCGTCTGGACGCGCATGGATGCGCACACTGCACTTGCTTGCACGCGTTGTTTTCTTGGTTTTGTTTTTTGTTGTTTTTGTTTTTTTTGTCGTGCACGTATTTACCATCTGCTGTAACCTGTGAGTGTTGCTCTGTGCGTGTGTGCCTGACTCTGTCTGTGTGCATATGTGTGTATGTGTCTGTATGTATGCAGTGGAGGTGAAGATATCGGATGAGGAGACGGACAACGAGCCATCCACGTTTTGGATCACCAATGCCAACAACAACTACATCGACAATGTCGCTGCCGGCTCAGAAGACACCGGGTGGGTGGCTCAATGGATGCGTTGGTTTTTGAGAATTCCCAAGTTGGTTTTTGAGAATTCCCAAGTTGGTTTTTGAGAATTCCCAAGTTGGTTTTTGAGAATTCCCAAGTTGGTTTTTGAGAATTCCCAAGTTGGTTTTTGAGAATTCCCAAGTTGGTTTTTGAGAACCAACCTCAATGGATGCGTTGATGGGTGGGTGGGTGATTTGGTTTTCCTGAGAGCAGAACGGATTGGCAAGCAGTCACCTTAATCCCCATCCCACCTCCATCAACTCAACATCTCTCTCTCCCTCCCCCCACTCCCCTCTCTGTCTGCATGGCACCAGCTTCTGGCTGGAGCTGAGGGACCAAGTAAGGGGGCTGTCTTCTCAATGGCCGCAGATCAACACGCTGATTCCCTTCAACTACCACCGCGTGGGCACGTTCGCAGGCAACGTGGCGCACTCGTGTGAGATTGGCTTCCGTGACTACCCCGGGGGGTTCAACCCCCGCTTCAACGCCTCCACTCTCGACCAGGACGAGACCTACGTGCGTCCCCACCTCTCTCTTTCACATGTCGCACCACAACCCTCATTGCCTGCTTGCATGCTCTCGCATGCCTCCTCAGTGCCTTGCCCCCCTGCTAACCCCTGCTGCCACCTGCTGCTTCCTGCGTGCCTCGTATGCTCTCCCTGCTCTTTAAACTGTGTCTCGTACTGTGCGCATTCCTGTGCCTGTCGGCCATGTTTTCAGCTGTTTCTTGCGACTCACAGCTGTGTCCTGCTGTGCGTGTGGTGTGTGATCCCCTGGCACATCTTTAGAGCAGTCTCATAACATCCCTGCTGCTCCTTCGCCAACACCAGCATGTCCATCCGTGTGGGTGCGTGTGGCCCTCCCATGCTCCGTGTGCCCCTCCCATGCTCCGTGTGACCCTCTGTTGATCGTTGCAGTGGGACCATCCAGTGTGGGTGACTATCTCGGGCTTCACTCTCTACAAGAACACCTACGTGGGGTAAGTCCACCCGTCATCCCACTCTCTTCCTCCTCTTTGCCACTCTTTCCCGTCCCTTCTCCCTTCCCTCCCTTCCCTACCTCCCATGCAACTTGCCCCCATTCTCTTGCGCGCTTCCTCCCTCCCCCTAGCTTCCCGCTCCACCCCAGCGCTTTGTATACAACACGGACCACGTGGTGATTCACACATGTTCACGTGTTCTCTCCTCTCCCACCCTCTTCCCCTCCTACCCTCCCCTCTGCAGCGCGTTCATCCACAACACGGACTACGTGGTATTCGATAAGTTCACAGCAGCGGACAACGTGTGGGGGGTGGAGATGCATCAGGTGGAGGGCATAGTGATGCGCGATCTCACGGTGGTGGGGCACACCGCCAACTACGGCAACCCCTTTGACTGCACCGACCCGGACTCCAACGGCTGCGCTCCGGTCTCCGGCTGCAAGTGAGTGAGGGAGGGTTTGAGGGAGTGTGTGGGGGAGGGAGTGGGTGTTTGGCCTGGCTCCGCGCTTCTTCTACGTGGTTCAGCTTTGAGAGGTCACTCCTCTCCTTTCCCTCTCTCCTCCTGCTCCGCCACCTCCTCATTTCCACACGCTCCTCTCCTTCCTTCCTTCTCCACGTGGCAGGTTCCCATTGGCGAAGGGCCAGCAGGGGCGCAGTGTGGGAGAAGGGGGGTGGGAGGAGCCGGTGTACGGGCTGGTGTTCACGCAGAGCCCATGGTTCACCGACGGGCTCTTCAACAACGCTGTTGACGGCGCTAAGTGCGTGCACGCATGCAATCATGCATTCATGCACCCATGCATCCATGCATGGGGCATACCGTTGAGTGCGTGGGGCGTAACATGCTGCATGGTCTGAAGCATGGTACCCTGTACAGGCATGGTCTGGCACGGCGTTACTCAGCATGGCGCAGCATCATCATGCAATCGCATCTCCTCCTGCCCTCCTCCACAACCCCATCCCGCGCACCCACCATGCAGGTTCGCCGGGTTTGACAGCACATGCAAGCCGTCTGCAGCGGTGGCGGTGGAGGGGGACATGGGGACCTACTGGAACGCCGGCAACAACTTCAAGGTGCCTCGCAGCCCTTGTCTTTCACGGCCCTTCACTGCTGCTCTCTGCTCTCTGCTCTTTCTCTCCTCACAGTTGCACCCACATCATCATGTGTAGTTCCAAAGTACCAAGTGCGTTTGCAGTATCAAGGCAGCAGCATTTCCACATATTTCTGATTCCTGATTGCACCCATGGACCGTTGCTGCTTGCACGTGCTTACCAAATAAATTCTCAAGAAAGACATTTCTTCCCTGCCGCACTAACAAATGGTGCATCCACCCCCTACCCCTGCTGCTCCCCCCATCACCAGAACCTCAAGTTCAGCACTGCAACGCGGACCAACCCAGTGTTGGTCGTGCCTCAGAAATACCCATCCAGAGTGAGTCGCCCTGCCAACCCTACACCACCCCTTATGTGCATGCCACAATACCACACACGTGAGTGGTTTAGATGGTGAATACGAATGCTTTCGCTATCTGCGCTTCTTGCTTTTGGCTCTGCTTGTATCACTTCACCCTCTCAAACGTGATAAGAATCATGCCCTATGCCTGAACAACCAGTTCAACGAGTCATAGTTCCAGTCTCAACGCATCTCAACTCGCATTATCTCCCTCTCTCCCTCCTCTCCTCCCCTCACTTCTCCCTCCCCGTGCGCCTGACCCTGAGCAGTACGACCAGGCAGAGGTGGAGGACCATGGGGAGGCAGCGGCACAGGTGGCGTTGAGGGACATGGACGGCAGCATAGTGGGGTCGGTGCTAGGCAAGACCTCCGTTGGCGAGAACACACTCCCTTCTGCTGCCGCTGCTGCTGGCGCTGGCGAAGTTGCTGCTGCTGCTGCTGCTGATTCTGCTGCTGCTGCTGTTGCTGCTGTTTCTGGTTCCGCAAGGCCCAGTGCTGCAATCCCTGCGTCCCTTGGCAAGCTTGTCCCGGCACAGAAAGCTTACCCTCAGCACCACCGTCGCCTGCTAGTCACGGCGTCTACTGCTCCTTCTGCTGATGCTGCTCCTGCGGCTGCTGCGGCGGCTGCTGCTGCTGCTGCAAGCTCCCATCGTCGCATGCATGGCACTGCAGCTTCTGCTGCGGCTACTATTTCTGCTCTCAAGAAAACTGTCGGCCGACCTAGCAACTACTACCCCAGGCCCCACTCGCACAAACGCTCACGCGCTTCCCGTAGGAAGTCTGCTTCTTCTGCCCGCTTGCCTGCCCGCTCCTCCTCCTCCTCCTCCTCCTCCTCCTCCTCCTCCTCCTCCTCCTCCTCCTCCTCCTCCTCCTCCTCCCCTCTCACCACCCCAATGCCGTCTGGTTTCCTAGTGGCCAACAACACAGCGGTGCTCCCCCCGCTGACCTCCTCAGGCACGTACGGCTCCTGCAAGCCCATGCCAGGAGCCAATGCGTACGCGTGCCCCTCGCCCACACACTGCTTCCGCACCGTCAACGTCCGCTACCTCGAGCCCGCCACCGCAGCCAACGTCAACCGCACGCAGGCCCACGGCGTGATGAGCTTCATCAAGGTGGTTCGCATGAGTGACGGCGCAGAGCAGACGTTTGATGGGAACTCGAATCACATCGAGCTGGAGGAGGGTGGGGGGGAGGCGGTGCGGGTGTTTGGGATCACAGCGCTGGTGGGGGAGGTGTATGTGGTGGAGGTGGTGGGGCCGGATGGGGAGGAGGAGTGGCAGCCGGAGGAGGTTAATGTGTACTTTGGGGATGGCGTGAACAAAGATTTTGCGGGGGACTGTGGAGGGGCTGTGACGGTGAGGCTCAAGGCTCCTGCTGGAGGGGACACACAGTGGGCCGCCAGGATGGCTGATAACGCCGCATGGCGGTAGGTTTTCCATCGATATGTATTTATTTTGTTCGTTCGTTTCGTTTCTTTTCTTTTCTTCTGTTCTCGCTCTCTCGTTGCAAGCTCTCTCTCTCTCTCTCGTTGTAAGCTCTCTCTCTCGTTGAGCTATCCACCCTGCATTGTCATTGCCCCCACCTGACGTCTCCCCTCTTTTCTGCCGCCCTCCTCTCCCACCTCCCCCTATCCTCCCTCCATCCTCCCAACGTCTCCTCCCTGCAGGCCCTGTACCGGCACCACTCAGCGTGCACCCGCCCTGTTCTCATACGAGTGTGAAGCGGAGTCAGAGCAGCAGCAGGTGCAGGTGGTGCTGTCAGGCGATGTGAACTACTACCTCCCTGCTACCGTCTATATCTCCCAGGACCCCCCCTGCACCCTGCTCCACCCCTTCGTGAGTCACACTCTGCCACACCATGGCACGGCACGGCTTAGCACAGCACAGTGCAGCGCAGCACAGCACAGTGCAGCACGCCGGCCCCTTCATTCCCCCCCTGCCCACTCACAAAACTCCGTTGTGGCTTCTCTTCCCTCACCCCATCCATGCCACCGCCCACCCACTTCATGCCTACCCTGTCCTCTCTCTCCCCTCCTCTCTCTCCCCTCCCCTCTCTCCCCTCCCCTCTCTCCCCTCCCGTTTCTCTCCCTCACAGGCACTGTGGCCTGCTGGCACCGCGAGCAGTGTGGCGCTACAATCAGGAGGGGGGGGAGCTGCATCCGCTCTCCCCCGGCGGTCCAGCCTTCTACAACCCGAATTTCTCGGACTCCTCCTGGCCCTCAGGCCCTGCCCCGCTCGCCTACGTGGGATGTAAGCACTCACACTCGCTCTCATGCACTGATGCTCTCGTGTGCGGTGCACTGTGGTGGGCTGCGTTGTGGTTGAGCCATCCGCTGCCGACATTACTGCCACTGCCACTGCTGCTGCTGCTGCTGTCTCCTTCCACTGTGTTGTACCTTGCCATGCCATGCTGCCCTGCTGCGGCCATGCTGCCCTGCTGCGGCCATGCTGCCCTGCTGCGGCCATGCTGCCCTGCTGCGGCCATGCTGCCCTGCTCCTCTGTTGAAATGCCGTTTGAGAATTCTTCTCCTTCCACTGGGTAGTACCTTGCCGTGCCATGCAGCCCTGCTCCTCTGCTTTGTCCCACCGCCCACACCCTCTCACTCTCAATGCCCCTGCCTCCTTACCAACGCAACACTCCACTCCTCCTTCCCCTGTCATGCCAACAGTTGACTGGGACAAGGTGGGCACGTTCCTGGCGGAGCCATCGTGGGACGCGCGCACGACATACTACTTCCGCACGACCTTCTCTCTCACCAACTCCGCGTGCTTCTCGAGCTTGCTGCTGCAAATGCCGGTGAACGATGGTGTGATTGTCTACATCAACAACCGTGAGGTGCTGCGCCTCAACATGCCCCAGGGGGATGTCACCAATGCCACCTCCGTACGTCAGCCCCTCGCCCCCGCCTCCCACCTCTCGCCCTGAATTTTGAGTCGACTCAAACGTCAGCCCGTCGCCCTCGCCGCCCACCTCTCGCCCCTCCCCTCGAGCCTCTCACCTCATCCATCTCACCTCGCGTCTCTCACCGCTCACCTCATGCCGCCTCGCACAGCAGCCAACACACGTCGTAGAGCTCGCTAACCTGCTCACACATGATCCACCTGTTCCCTCCGCTTTCCCACAGCACACCGTTCCTAATTCTCCCGCCCCAAGCCCACCCTGCTCGCACAACTTCAACCCCTCGTGGCTCGTCCCGTTCCCTGTTGCCCCTCTTTCCCCTCCGTGCAGGCGCTGGCGGATAAAGAGGCGATCAATGACAACGATGATGGGTTCATCTACACGGACAAGACAGTGGCTCTGCCAGGGGCGGCAGCAGCGCCGGTGCTGACAGACGGGGTGAACGTGGTGGCAGCAGAGGTGCACCTCAATCACGACGACGGCTGGGACATCGCCTGGGCTCTGCGCCTCTCCGGTCTCCCCTCGTACGTGCCACAACACATGCCTGTGTGCGGAGCATGGCACGTGTGACACATGCCGGTGTGTCTGTATGGTTACTGCCTCCTAGTCTCCTCGCTTTTCGCTTGAAACCTTTGCTGCACGAATGGCTTGGAAGCTCTGAATCTCACCCGCCTCTCCTGCTCTTACCCTTCTGCTGTCACCCCGCAGCTCAGCTTGCTCCAATCGCTGACGGCTGGTCGCTGCAACCCCTGATGGCTGAGGAGGTGCACGGGACAGCGAGGGGGCCTCTCATGCTTGCCACTGCTGTGACCAGTTAGAGAGGCTCTCTCTGGAGTATGATGTTTAAGGATGCGTTCGATCACATGTGCATATGTATGTATTATCTCTATATACGGTACTAAATACATGTTATGTTATATACCCACTGGTGCGTTGACTGATTATAAACCCACTCTGCGAGGAGTAGCATAATCACGGGCACAAACACACACAGCTAGGAAGGGAATTAAGGAGCGGCATGAGCAGTATGCTTGCATTGTGTACGTATTCCTGCTGCAGTGAATGCACCTCAGGTGCTTGTGAACGCAAGCCTTCTGGCCTGCATGCATGGAGGTAGGCTGAAGGTACCGGTACCGGAAGTTGGAATGAACTACGGTACCGGTAGCAGGGCTCTCGTTATCAGGGTAAAATACCCTTTTTGAACTGACTGGCGGCCGCTTTTTTTCAGTTACCCTTTCACAGACAGGGTAGTGGATTTTTTACCCTAGGCCAGAAAGTGTAAGTTTTTTTGTACCCTTTGAAAAACAGCGTAAGGAACATATTTCCCTGACTGTACAGTGTACAATCCCAGTAATACTTGTCAGAATGTACTTGTATACATTACTATAACTGCCTGTAGTGTAGACCTAGTGTAGCTCTATGTTCTTGTTTGGTGGTGCACTCTCATGCTTGCCTATTTGTACTGCTCGCTCTATAGTGAACAACCTCTTTTGGCTAATCTCTCGACCCCTTCCTCTCGTAACTCTCGTTCTACCCTCAACCCAAGTCCTAAGTCAACTTAGGTTTCTAACATGGTTTCAGAGCACTTAAGCTCCTAAGACCTGTTGTCCATGGGCCCACCGCTGTTACTTTCTCGCTCCTGCATGGCGCCTTCGCCCCCATTCGATCCCTGCTTCGTGCTGCCCGTCGCGCAGCTTCCGTCCGTCACGCTGCCCATGACGGCGAGCTGCGCGATGGCGCCAGATGCGGCCCCGTTTCGGCCCCCTCGTCGCAGCCCGTCCGTCCCTCGCTGCCCCGGCCCGTCTCGTCCCCGTCCAGCGGTGCGCAGTGCGCACAGCCGCACGCACGCAACCGCGAACGCGCAGCTGCACACACGTCACCAGTCACGCGCGCGACTGCAGCGAATTGCGCAGCTGCAGCCGCACGCGCAGCAGCAACCTCTCGCGCGACTGCAGCGACACCTGCAGCTGCAGCCACACGCGCAACTGCAGCCGCCTGCTGCACCCTCGCCCGCCATTTTTCCCCTTTCTCACTGCTGCTCGTGCACCAGGGGGGGGGGGGAGGGTGTTGGGGGGCGGGGGTGGTTGACGCCACTCTGCTGCTGCGCTACGCCGCCGCCAGCCTTCTCCCTCTCCCTGCTGCTGGTGCAGCCGTGAAAGGGGTGGGGGGAGGGTGTGGGGGGTGGGGGGTGTGACACGCCAACAGCCGTCCCTCCACCTCTCCACTCCTACTGCAGTGGGGTGGGGGGGAGGGTGAGGGGGTGGCAGGGATGACCAGCATGCGCCAGCCCACCTCCTCTCTCTTCCTGTCGCCCCTCCTGGGGTGGGGGGGAGAGGGGGGGGGGGGGGAGGGTGAGGGGGTGGCGTTGGAGGAAGGGTGGGGGGAAGACGTGAGGTTCCAGGGGCGGTTGACAAGGGGGGTGAGGTTGACAAGGGGGGTGGCTGAAAGGGGGCGTGGAATTAGGGGGTTAGTAAGAGGGGCTCGCCGCGCTAGGCTCCCCCCCACCTCCTCTCCTCCCTCTCTCACCACCCCCCCTTGTAAACAGGGGGTTCGTAAGAGGGGCTCGCCGCGTGGCTCCCCCACCTCCTCTCCTCATCCCTCTCTCATCCCCCCCCTTCGTAAAACGGGGGTTCGTAAGAGGGGCTCGCCGCGTGGCTCCCCCACCTCCTCTCCTCATTCCTCTCCTCTCCCCTCTCTCTCTCTCATCTCCTCCTCCTCGCATTCCTCTCTACCGTCTTCCGCTGCGCTTGGTGTACCCCTTCCGGGGGTGTTTCTGCACATGGTTCTTCACTGCAGGCAGTTAGGGGGTGTGTCAGAATGTACTTGTATACATTACTATAACTGCCTGTAGTGTAGACCTAGTGTAGCTCTATGTTCTTGTTTGGTGGTGCACTCTCATGCTTGCCTATTTGTACTGCTCGCTCTATAGTGAACAACCTCTTTTGGCTAATCTCTCGACCCCTTCCTCTCGTAACTCTCGTTCTACCCTCAACCCAAGTCCTAAGTCAACTTAGGTTTCTAACAATACTGATACCGAATGCCCCTGCAAAACACTCCCGTTAACGAGACTCAAACCTGCTGCCTTTCAGACCCTAATCCGTAACATACCAGCTAAGCCACTAAGTCTTGAACTTGACAATCTCAGAAATATTAATAGAGGAATCTTCGAAAAAAATACCCTTGCCAAACAGTGTTACTGTTTTTTTACCCTGCATTTGTCAGGGAAACAAAAATTTTACCCTAGGCATCAGGGTTGACTATACCTAGAACCCTGATTACTAAGGGTGGCCCAAAACGAATCTGAAGCCCTGACCGGTAGCACACTCCCAGGGACTGCTCCATTAGCAATGATTCCATTTCATTCTCTCTGCTCAACATCACGAGAGTCTCTCTGGTCCTTGCAAGGCAGCAATCCAACAGTGCAGTACACCACCCAAGTCACAGTACTCTATGCTCAACAGTGTACGGTAACATCATTGTGGCTTTGCCCTTGGTCGCAACAGTTCTCTCCCACCATATGCAAGGCTAGCGCCCACGAAGCACACGTAACGGAGTTCCTACCACCAATCAGGCCATGCAAGCCGACCGTTTATCATGCTGAAAACGGACAGGAGCAGCAGTCATTCCTCAACGCCGTGCGTCCATCCATACCGTATGTATATCAGCATGCTTAACGCTTCACCACACCTACTGCATCACTTGCATCGTTCTTAGCTCCTCAAGTGGTTTTCAGGAGCCACAAGTACAACCAGAACAGCACACCACACCAGCCCCATGAAATCCCACATAGCACTTCATCTCGATTTCAGACTACAAGCTTTACTCCCTCACTCACTCACTCACCCCGCAACCCTTCCTCCCACAACGAATCCTACCTGCATCCTGTCCTCACTGGGACCGTGTTGCTACCCATCCAGCCCAGCCCAGCCCAGCCCAGCCCAGTACAGAAGCCACCAGCACCACCACCCTGACCGCATAGTCACAGTCATGTCCCAGAGGTCACTGCCACACGGGGCCTGTGCACTTATGCCCTGGGTCATACAAAGCGCCATGTCGTTGCTAAGCTGTTGGAGAGCCTTCCTCCTTCCCGCTTCACCTCCCACCTCGCCACAACTCATTCCCACAACGCAGCGCTACAGCTAGCTGCTACAGCTGCCCACTACAGCTCGCCGCTAAATACTTGCCTCTACAGCTGCCCGCTTCAGCGTGGCAGCTACAACTGCAGGTTGGCAATGGCCTCAGGGGCTGGAAGTCCACCCGCTGCCCCAGCACCATATCGACCACCCACCTCGCCACAACTCAGCGCTACAGATTAACAGCTACACCTGCCTGTTACAGCAACAGCCCTGGTAGCCTGGCACCCCGGCAGCTACAGCTGCAGGTTGGCAATGGCCTCAGGCCGGAAGTCCACCCGCTGCCCCAGCACCCGCTTCACTTCCGCAGCACTCAGCCTCCACGTCATTGGTCCCGCGTTCTCCCCCCAGTAGTCCAAAATCTCCCCCACCTTCTCCAGATTCAGCACCGTGGCGATCTGAGTCAGCCGCGCGAATTTCTCACGCACGGACCGCGACGTGAGCGCGGACAGGTGACCCACGAGCGTCCGCACCTCCCGGTCCAGCTGTAGCCCGCCCAGCTGGTTGAACCGCTTCTGCGCTACAGCCGCCTCCACCCTCCGTGCCACCATATCTGTCACCAGCCCGACCAGCCCGTCGTGATTGGCCGCGGTTAGCAGCGGCTGTAGCGGCGCGAGGCAGGCTTCGAGTGCGAGCAGGAGCCGCTGCACCCAGGGGTCGCTGGCTTCTCTCTCCTCGTACTCTGCTTCAGAGAGCTCGTAGGAGATGGACGAGGCCAGCAGGTCGAGGACTGGGCGGAGTCGCGGTGCGATGCCGTTGGCCAGCTGCTCTAAGCCTGTGGATGCTACCTGGCGGAACACGGCGCTGGTTTCCCCCAGGTCGGCGAGTATGGGCTTCAGACGCTCCCTGTCTGCTGGCGCGGGGAACACCTGGTGGGTGGGGAGGGACGGGGGAGGGGTAGGGGAGGAGGCGATGGGGTGATGAGTTACGATTAGTAGGAAAGTGAGCAGGAGTCTTCCAGAGCGCGTGGGATGGTTTGGGGTCTGAATATGCTGGCAGGCCACTGCGTGTGAGTGATAGGCAGTGATGTAGAGACTCTGCATGCACTGTGAGAGATGAGGACTGGGAGTACGTCAGGGTGAAGGGGCTGCGGAGGAAGTGGGGAAGGAGAGGTAGGGGTGCATCCTGCTGTATGGGCCACAAATAGCTGGAAAACCTTCCCTGCCTGCACCTTTTTTTTAGAATTCTAACAAAACTGATTCAGCACACGGGCTCAAGTGCCTGGGAACTCCTTGTAAACATACTTGCTTTGACACGCAAGTGACACAGGCCACTGCCTCACCTACAGCCCCAGCGGATCAAATATTCGAGACGAGAGGTCAGAGCCACAGACACAGGTCACTACCAGGGCGTAGGTACGAGTTTCAGGACGACTCCAGAGCGTCTTTGCACGAGTTGCATTGCAATATGAGAGACTCACACACGCAGGCTTGTACAAACGCTAACACACATACACGCGCCAACACACACGCGCATGCAAACATAGGCAATCACACAAACCTTTGCACACACATACCCGTGCTCACACAGACGCCATCAACAAAAGCCAGCATGTTCCTTTTCATCCCACTGTCAACACCCCCACCTCTACGCTCTGCTTCCCCTGGAACCTGTTTCACCTTCACAAAACACCTCGCACGTACACACTCCCATCCCTTCAACCCATTCCCTTCCACATACCACTCACAGCCCTAGACGTATTACTACTTCCAACTTTGTCGTCATCCCCATTCCTCCCCCGCCTCTGCCCCTGTCTCCCATACCTTGTCACCCAACCCTTCAATCCCAGCCCCTTCAGCCCCAGGCCCTCATCTTCAGCCCCTCATCCCCGTCCCTTATCCCCATCCCCCCTCATCTCCCCCGCTCACCTCGAGGCTGTATTCTTCCGCCTCCTGCTTCAGCTTCATTGCATACTCCGCGCTCACATCCGCGTTGTTCAGCGCCAGCGCCAGCGTCGCTTCCGACCCCCCGCCTCCTGCGCCCATCCCCCCTGCGCCTCCCCCCCCCCCCCCTCCCCCCACCCCGCCCGCCCCTCCACCCACTCCCCCCGTCACTCCCGCCACCCCGCCTGCACCTGCCGCCGCACTAGCCGCCACAGAGGCCAGCAGCCGCGCCGCGAGGTTAGGCTCTCTTAATCTCCTCTGCAGCGCGTCGCGGAGGTCCGCGCGAAGGACGGCGGCGGTGGCGGCTAGCACGGCGGCGGCCGCAGGGAGGAATGACGTGGCGACGGCGCGGCGAGTGCCGTTCTGGAGAATAAAGAACACGTCGTCTACCATAGAAGAGGTAAACGAGTCCGGTACGGGCTCATCTATCCTAATAGCCTTCCCAACGTTCTCCACCATGAAATACTCCTCCAAAGTCACATAGAACCCCATAACGTCCACTAGGATCTTCCCGAACGCGCCGCCGCCCACACCACTCCCTCCACCGCCTCCTCCTCCACTGCCGGGCCCGCCGCCGCCGCCGCCGGTTCCGCTGGGCGCGGCGAAGCTGGCGAAGGTGGTGAGGGTGCGCGGGGAGACCCCTGCACCCGCCGCTTCCGCGTCGCGAAGCTTCGCGGCGATGAACCGCGCGTACTCGTGACTGCGCTGGGAGAGCAAGAGCGCCTCCTCCAAACATGCCTCCACCTCTTGAGGGTTCGGTCCCACCACCGATCCGTCCGAAGCCACTACTGCCGCTGCTGCCCTGAAACCCCCTCCTTGCCCGCCGCCGGTGCTGCCGAGTGTGTACCCTGCTGCAGCCGCCGCCGCCGCCGCTTCTTTCGCCATGCGTGGCAGGCGACGATGTTCGACGTACTTGCGAAGAATGGCGGCGGATCGCGCGTCGCACTCGGCTTGGAGCTCTTTAATCGCCGCCACCACGCCGTCCTCGCCGGCAACCGCTTTAAGGAGCTCCTCGTTGCTCTCTACAGCGAGCGCCACATCACGGAGAAGCGCAGTGAGCGCCTCCGCGAAATCCGCCTGCGGGGAGACGGCAAGCATCGCGGCGGCTGCGCCGCCGCCGCCGGCGGTGCTGGCGGCAACATCGAGGGTCGAAAGCAGCGCCGCGAATTGCTCACGCGCGCGCACCGCCACGACCTTCCGGAGATATCCCACGAGCGCGCGCAAGCCTTCCGCCTGCAGCCCCAGCGGGGGAAACAGGCGCACAAACCGCTCCACCCCCGCCTGGTCCATTTCGTCCGCCGCCGCCGCAAACCGTTTGCGGATCACCCCCTCAAGCTTAACCTTCGACTCCATCAGCTGCCTCCGCTGCTCCCGCGCAGTCTCCGCCGCCTGCGAGTCAATCGCACGCGGGGACGCCCCCGCCTGCGCTTGCGGAGGGGCCTGCCCGAGGAGCACCGCCGCCGCGTCCGCCGCTGCAATCGGGGAGCGCGGCGTGGTGGGATGGAGGAGCTCCTCGTCAAGCTGCAGAAACGTCTCTATGAATCGCGACGCCGCCTCGTAATCCGACGCTTCGAGCGCGTTCCGCGCGCCGGTGATGCAGTTACTGCGGTCCACGATCGCATCGATGCGCGCGATGGTCGTTGCGACGCGGGACTGCGCCGCGTCACGCTCCCGGACGCTCCCGCTGACCCGAGATGCCAGCTGGCTGGTTCCCGACACCGACGCGAGAACCGCATCGGCGTCCGTGCGGACTAATTCGAGGACGTCCGTGGCGGCTTTGTGCAGGCCCAGGAGTCGCCGCTCCAGCCCGCCTCTCGCGGCGAGCAGCGCGGCGAGCTCGTTGTCAATGTCTCGCTCGCGCGCGACGGTTTCGTGCAGCAGCCGCGTCATCGCGCCGATGTCGGTCAGGGAACGGATCTCCGCGAGCGACGGCGCAGCGGCAGATGCGGAAATGGGGGTGGTGGCGGTGGCAGATGGACCGGTGCCGTTGGGGATCTGAGACTGGGGCTGGGATGCGTTAGCCGTTGGTGTCATTGGACGAGCCGCCATGGCTGCCGCGTCAGCCGGATCGACGCGACGAAACGCGCAGGAGGAATCGGGACGGCTAGAAAATATATGGTACGGAAGGTGCAGAGGGAAACGCTTGCGGAACTAACGCTCTTGTGCCAAAATGGAGGCTGTACAGGTAACGTTAGGCTGAATGCGACGAGCAGCAGCAGCAGCAGCTGGTGGTGGTGATAGTTTAGTCTGCGGGGAATTCCCTACGAGACCACGGACCTTGCACCTCGTCGGCTCGTCAGATCTCCCGTCCTGATCATCGTGACCCACGGCATCGGTCACTCAAGCCGCACAACCACGGGAATTGACCTGAATTGTGACCAGGTAACCGAGTTTCTATCCGCATCCATGGAATGACCAAGTAAGGATAGTTTGATCTGACTGCGAGGAATCCTAGACACCGAGCAAACCAGCGAGACAGCACTAAATCCCTGTCACTATTCTTCAGGGAATATCGAAATTGAGGGAGAGATTAATCTCCAGCCGACCGGGAGAACTAACGTCAAAGGATCACGGATGGGAAGATCGCAAGGCTAACACGTCGCAAGACAGTGTAACGGTTAGTTTATTCCTGGAGTTAGATCCTTGATATATCTTACAGAATACTCTCAATACCAGCTTTCCCAGGTATCATTTTGGCTGTCAAACGTATGTGCATGTCGTGTCTTGACGAGTTTGCTTGTACCAGAGAAGATACTGCAAGAAATACAGGCTCTACAGTAGCCGTAAATGTGGGTTGCAATTCACATATCTCATTCCTCCTTTACATCTCAGTTCAATGCCTACCTTCATCCTCATGCCCATTCATCAAGCCCCTTAGTTCCCCCAGACCTTTCTCCATGTTGAAGGGAGAGGTGCTCAACATCGGTGCATGTGAACTGGAGAATCTAATGCAAGGTCTGTGTAGACTGTAGGTGCATTTAGAGGAGCATGGCCGGGTCCTTCTTCTGCAGGTGGATCTTATCAATGCCCTCCAGCACCTCAGGAGAGAGATCCATCTCAAATGCATCTGCATACACACACTCACATTCACACAGACAATGGAGAAGGGGTACAAACATGTTAGCTTGGGGCAGGTGGTGGGAAGGAGACAGGGGACAAGAGTCTTTGACTCACTTCCCACCACCGCAACACACACTCAACACAGAGCAACCGGCAGCACGGCAAGCACACACCCAACCAACCAAAGCAAACAAAACGGCAAGCAAAATCGAGAGCACACATAGCAGGAGACAGGCACCCAGGTCGTGCCTCCCAATCGAAGCCACCAGCACCTCCCAATCTAACGCCAACCCAAGGCATGTGGGTGCATTGTGCACTGTGGTGTGAGGTTCTGCTTGAGCTGCTCCATCGTGGTGGTGGGAGCCTAAGAAGGTTGATGTCACATAGCCATCGCGGCTTTTGAGAGGTCTCACAGCCCAGCCAATGGCCCACCCACTCACTCACACACGTGCACGCATGCGCTGTCTGCGATTTTCCTTGAGCTATGGCAGCCCACATGCCCCCCAATTTAAACTCAGCCCAAGGCACATGCACCCGAATTTACACTGAGCCCAAGGCACGCATGTGTGCAGCACTGACCGAGGTTCTCCTTGAGCTGCTCCATGGTGGTGGCGCCAAAGATGGTGGACGTCACATACCACCGCGACTTGCACCACGCCAGCGCCAGCTGCGCCGGGGGGATGCCTGATTGTAGATGGGTGGGGAGAGGGGACAGATTATTGCGTCTACTAAAAAATCACAACGACTTGCACCACGCCAGCGCCAGCTGCGCCTGGGGTATGCCTGCTTGCACAGGGGTGGGGGGGAGGCAGGTGAGCAGGAGAATAGGAAATAGGGAGGAGACGGATAAAGGGTGGTGAGGGGGAGGAGGGAGTAGTGTGGAGCGGGAGACCAAGGCTGGTGCGCGGAGGAGAGAGGGAGGTGAGGGGTGTAGGTGAGGAAGTGTGACGGTCCAGAGAGATGAGTGTGGTGGGGCTGTGCATGGCACAGGGTTGGGAGCAGTAGATATGGATGAGGTGGTGTTGCAAAGAGAGGGACGAGGGATGGAGGAGGGATTACAGAGATGAAATCCATGTGCAGGCAAATCAGACCTGGCGAAAGCGGACTACAACACGGCCACTTCCACCTGCACGTAAAAGCGCTCCCCTCTTGTTGCTCGCCCCTTCTCCATACTCGCTTCAGCAAAGTTGGTGTAAGTCAGCCACAGCTGCTGTGGTGAATGAAACGCATGTGTGCGTACTCTCTTGTGGAGCGCCTCCTCGCCTCCTCCCCTCCTCCACACACCTACTGGCCCTTCTCCTCGCTCAGCATGTCTTCTCCCTCAACTCACCAACACTCTCAGCAAAGTCGGTGTAGACCTGGGAGGCCTCAGCCATGGCCCCGGTGGTGAAGCGCTCCTGGTAGCCCTGGAAGAGGGTGAAGCGCGCACCAGGCGGCTTCTTGCCTCCGTTGTACTTGCCCGATAGCGCTCCTGCTCGGTTGATGGAGTGGGTTTGTGTGGGGAAGCGGGTTGTGTGGGGGAGTAGGGTGGTGGGAGGGAGCGTAGGCGAACAGGGGAGAGGAAGGAAGTGGGGGGGTTGAGTGCTTGTTTTTGTTGCAACATATGGTCATGGTTCGGCAAGGCATGGGGGACACAGACATTTGTACATGCTTTCGCCATGTATCCACACATGCATCAGCACATGCACCCACTCGTGCAGGCATACATGCATAAGGGCATACACGCTTCACACCCTTCACCACTCACGTACAGTCCTGCTACAGAGGAGCAGTGGCATCAGAAACTTGTCCGCAACTCGTCAGCAGCTCGTCAGCAACTCAGCAACCGCCATGGAAAGACCAGCCTCTCTGACATTTTGACACGCACTCACCGCCGCCCATGGGGCTCCAGGGCAGCAGCGGGCACTGAGCCACGTTCTGAGGCATCTCAACAGGCACAGGCACGCACGCTCACTAACGCACACTCGCCCTCGAATGCACTCACCGCCGCCCATGGGGCTCCAGGGCAGCAGCCCGATGTTGTAGTGGCTGGGCGCGCACGCCTCTGCCAGCTCCGTCTCAAAGGAGCGGTGCACCAGGGAGAAGCTGTTCTGGATCGACACGGGCGGAGGCACCCCCAGGCGCCGCGCCGCGTGCACATACTCGCACACGCCGAACGTGGTCTCGTTGCTGAGGCCGTAGTGCCGGATCTTGCCCTCTGCATGAATAGAAGAATGAGAGGGGCGTGTGTGTGTGGTAGACGTGTGAGGGGCGAATTGAGTGTTCGGGGTGCTTCCAAGGCACACTCTCAAAATGTGGTCTCGTTGCTCAGGCCGTAGTGCCAGATCTTGCCCTCTGCGTGAATGACATGAGAGGGCATGTTTGTGTGTGTGTGCGTGGTGGACGGATCAGGGGCGAGGGGCGAGTTGAGTTTTGAGGTGCTCCAAGGCACGCTTTCAAACCGTGGACTCATTGCTCAGCCCGTAGTGCCGGATTTTGCCCTCTGCGTGGGCAACATGGGAGGGACGTGTGTGTGTGGTGGGCGGACGGGAGCGAGGGGCGAACTAAGAGTTGAGGCACCTCAAGAACCGCTTCTACAAGGTGCTATTGTTGCCCAGTCCTCTGTGTGTGACAATATATTGTGCGTGTCCCACACATGGAGAGTGGAAGGGCGCATGGGACAGCAGAAGTGGGTGCGGGGGAAGGGGAAGGGGAGGAGAAGGGAACGACGCAAGTGCGAGTCTCAAGCATGATGTAAGCTTAGTAACTGCGCACCTGCCACTTTCCGCTGCAGGTCAGCCCATCACTCTAAACTGCCCTGACCTGACCATCATAACCCCTTGCGTTCACCCATCTCCCCAGCACCCTTCATACGCCCCACAGCCCATCGCCCCCCCCCCCCTCGGTGATCGAACTGCCCAACCAACGGCCCCTAACAGAGTGGTCAGTCACTGATCAAAGTGGCGTGTGACTCGCTCTCACCCTTGATAAGCTCCCCCATGGCTGCAACGGTCTCCTCTATGGGGATGGACGGATACTCCTTCTCCGGTTTGTACTGTGTCACTCCAAACTTGGGCACATAGCGGTCCGGCCTGGTTGGGTGGGAGGAGAGGAGGTGGTGGGAAGGGAAGAGGGGGGACGGGGGATGGAGGGGGGAAAAGGGGTAGAAGGGGATGAGACAAGGAAGAAGGGTGCACTATTATGCAGGAAGAGGCGAAAGTGAAGGCAGCAGCAGGAGCAGCACGAGAAAAAGCGAGCGTGCACCAGAGACATTGGTGGAGGTCGATGTAGTCAGTCTGCATTCGCCCGAGGCCCTCAAGTCCACTCCTGACCGAGGTCACCATTGAGTCAACTCTTGAGCCGGCCCTTGGCATGACTCTTGATTTAACTCTTGATTTGACTCCTTGAGGTGACTCAAGGGGCGCACCAGTAGATCTGGAAGAGGTCAATATAGTCTGGCTGCAGGCGCCTGAGGCTCTTAGAATCCACTCCTCACTGGGATTGCCTTTGAGTCAACCCTTGCGTTGACCCTTATTATGACACTTGAGGTGAACGAAGTCGCACCATTGTTTCTCGCAGAGGTCGATGCATTCCGTCCGCCTGCAAGCGCCTGAGGTTTCTGAGCCGACTCCTGACCGAGGTGACTTTTGATACCGACTCTTGACGTGATTCAAGACGCACCAGTGGATCTGGTAGAGGTCGATGTAGTCCGTCTTCAGGCGCCTGAGGCTTTCAAATCGACTCCTGACGGAGGAAACCTTTGAGTCAGCTAACCCTGATGTCTTATTTGACTCGACGCGCACCAGTGGATCTGGTAGAGGTCGATGTAGTCCGTCTGCAGGCGCCGGAGGCTGGCGGCACACGCCTTGCGGATGCTCTCCCTGTCCAGCCGGCAGTCCGCCAGCTCGTTGCTGCGCGGCTGCTCCCTGTTGCCCGGGGTGTAGCTCGCTGGATTGTACCCTGCCACCTGCCCCGCGCATGGGATGAGAGAGGGATGGGAGGGGGTGGAGGGAGAGGGGAGAGGGGAGAGTGGGGAGGGGAGAGGGGAGAGTGAGAAGAGGGGAGGAGATAGAGTAGAGGGAATCAGAAATGAGAGTGGTCAGCATGGCTGGCAGGTTCAACAACCACCTGTGCGTGCCTGCACTGCGCATTCTCCCTACCCACGCCCCCATGAACACACACTCTTCCGCTTGCACCCTCTGGATTGTAATCCCTTAGTCCAGTGCTAGCGGCATGCAGACAACCAGCACCAGGAAATAAGCGCAGCGACAGCGCAGCATGGTGGATAGGGGGGTAGAGGGTACCTTGGTGGCGACGATAATGGAGGAGCGGTCCTTGTTCTTGAGCCACGTGCCCAGGATCTCCTCCGTGCGCCCTGCTGTCTCACTGGTGGACCAAGATCGTGAGGGGGGCGAGAGGGAGCGGGAAGGCGGGGCAGCAGGGAGATAGGAGGAGAACCGAGGCAGGGGGGGATGGTGAGGGAGGAAACACTGGAAAGAAGGGAACTCTGGAGGGAGTTCCGTTAAGGTTTCGGTGTTCGATCATGAGATTGCGTTCGATTTTGGAATAAGAGTCGATTGCATTGCTCCAAGCTGCGTGCGCGTTACTCCATGCTTCATGCGTCAAACCATAGAGACCGACCATGCATGTAGAATCATCGCGGCCATGCACTACGCACCATCCACCACGCACACTCGTGCCCTGTGTTTGCAAGCAATACTGCACCTTCACCTGCACTTGCACCTTGAAAAGTCCGCAATGTGAGCAAGAGCGACTGCACCAGGCATCACGTGAGCAGCGCTCTCATCGCACGTGCGCATGGGCACGGGGTGTACACCTCAGCCTGTAGAGGCGCCGTCGAAGTGATCGCACCTGCGCATGGGCACCCACTCGCGCACTCACCGACGCGCAATGACACCGACGCGCACTCTCACCACATGAGCGCGCTGATGGACGCACCTGCGCATGGGCACGGGGTAGACCTCGGCGACGTCCACGAAGTTGACTCCGCGCGACACCGCATAGTCCAGCAGCGCGTGCCCCTCCTTCTCCGTGTTCTGCTGCCCGAACGTCATCAGACCAAAGCATGCCTGCCGTTCGCGCCACACGCCCGCGCGCGGGGGGGGGGGTAAGGAAAGCGAGGGTTTCCCAAGGGGACGGACGGACGGAAAGACGGACGGAGGTACGGACGGACGGAGGTACGGACGGACGGAGGTACGGACGGACGGACGGTGAGACGGAGGGACGGACGGACGAAAGGAAGGGATCGGAAAAGACGGGAACGGGAATGAGACGCGGAAGGCGAAGCATGCATTGCACCTTCCGCAGTCAACAAAAGCGAAACTTCCATGAATGTAGCTTTGGAGTCGACACGAAAGGTGGCGACGTGTGTATCAGCAGAATAACGATAGGGTCACAGTCTGGCCTTGTGAAGGCCAACTGGGACAGATCACGAGTCGACGATGAAAAAAGGCAGTGATGTTTGAAAGAGACATATCCGCTAGCGAAACGCTACCTGTGAAACGGAGAGATCCGAGCTGCCCAACGTGACTCGCTTCATTTTGCCCGTGGCGGCCGGAGGATCGGCTGACGTTGACGCTGACGACGAAGCTGACGCTAATGGGACTAGGCTTGACGGGGAGGATGAAGAGCTCGCAGCAACGAATGCTCGTCGCTTGCTGCAAGCAGGAGTGACAACGAATGCTCCGCGCGCAGCGCGTGCTGCGGTAGCTCGTGCGTGCAGCGATGTGACGCGCGCACAGGGCTGTGGGAGGAGGAGAGACAGCATGGATGGCGCGAAGGAGCTGGTGGAATGCAGAAGAGGAGGCAGAATGATCGGACGAGGGGAAAGGGATTGGGATGGAATAACAGGAATGGGACAGCAGGAGAGTTGTTGTGAAGGTTTGGGTTTTCTGAGGTGCAGGGATTGATAAGGCGTGTGTTCGGCTGTGGCTGGCTGCAGGCGGAAGCTGGGCCATATTGTATGGTGAAGTACAATAGTTTGGCGAGAAAGGGGGGACAGCGAGGGGTTTCGTCAGAATGTGGTTGGAAGGGTTGGTAACTGAACCGACCCGCAAGGTTGGAAATAGTCGCGATCCAGAGTGCTGGGTCATCAGCTACGTGTCCTGGTGGGAGAGGCCTGGGTAGGCGTGTCGCTTGCTTGACCTTGTCGGTGGCAGACCCAATCTTTTGACACGTGCCTCGTCTCCACGAGATTCGGAAACTCTGCAATTCCCAGAGTTGTGGAGCCTGTCCGCTTTATCAGGCTAACTCTACATCTGGGTCCCCTTTTTTATTTGGTTTCGAATACATTTAGCCCTTCCAGTTTAAATCGCATTTCACTCAATGTAGCTCATATCTGAAATCTTGGCTGCTCTCATTCGAAAGCATGGTCAATTGCATGGACGGCGTGTGACTCGATAACATCCACCAACGCCATGCATGCTGCTCTTACACCGCCGATGGCGGGTAGGCCTCTCGGTCATAGCGCATCTGCCAGCTGGCACAGACTTGCGAGCGCTTCCGAGCAAATTTCCTGCTGCATTTCGACAACCAGACATTTAGCATCATGTCCGAAAGTCGATTCCTCTGTGCGAGAGAAAGCGTGGAGCTCTTGCTCACTCAGGAGGCTATTCATCGACCCGTGTTGACTGGGCTTTCATACCTCGTGAATTTCTGCTTCATATTACAACAGCTGGTTTTCATCGCAATCTTCCTTCGGGCAATTTCTCTGGCTTTTGGTATCTGCATCATTGGTTAGAGATCCGTCTCCCTCTTACGATGATGGATAGGTCGCGGCGGTCTGAGAGAGCAATAGACATTTGCTCGGTACTTTGTGCAATCCTCCTGCCTCCAGTCGGTGTCTTTTTGAAACGGGAGTGTCAAATCGAGTTTTGGATATGCGTGCTATTGACGCTTCTTGGATACATCCCAGGGATTCTTTATGCCGTCTTCGTCATCCTAAAGGTCTGCTATGGTGTTATGACTTGCACAGTACACGGAAGCTATGCTCCTCTTTCCCTGCTGCTTTACTGACCATTTTGCTGTGTGCTATGTGCAGTATGACTAGACCTTTTGTCCGCCTGCCTGCCTTACGAGAGCTTCAGTTGAGATAATGCTGAGTGGATCCATGCTTTTCAAAGGGGGGAAACATTTGAGCCTTCACGGGAGCTGGATATTGGTGCTACGTCTCTCGATTCTTAGGAGAGAGTGGCCTTTTTTTTTTTTCCCATGCTATGATGTAGTCGTTTCATTTCGCAGCTGTTTGATACATGCAAATACAGTTGCTGACTGCTGGATGTCATGTCTGTGTAGCTTGTAATGTAGTTTCACGGCAAAAGTAGTGTTCTGGGCGCTTGTTGGGTAAAATAACGCGGAGCAACGTACAGAGGGTACATTTTGTTGTGGAGTCTCGGTTCGGTTCGGTAACATATGCGAGGGAGGGAAGTGTGGCATTGTAGTGCTGGAAGTCCAGCGAAGCAGCACGTGCGCTGACTCGAGAAACGCAATTCTTTTGCATTGCTGGAGCTGCCCACGTCATTGACGGCTCGGGTTTTGGCGGCGTCCAATTCCACACACAACTGCTCTACAGTGCTTTCTTTTCGAGGCTGACCTTTCTCTCTTTGCCGAAGTCACGTAGCATTCCAGGTGCCCGTCAAGCACCTGGTACTCAACCGTATGTTTTTCGTAAGACAAGTTTGCTGTTCTGGTCTGGATCCCTGATAGGACAGTAAATACAGTGCGGACCGTATTCACATTTTTTATCAACCAACCAACAACCACCAAGCCAATCAAACCAAAACAGTGACCTTATCCACGGGGACAGGAAACCAGACCTACCTACCAACTTCACATTCCTCCTCAGCAACAACATTTCGCCCCAAGAAGAACAGCTTATTCAGCCCCGCATTTCCGAAATCCTGGGCCCTCGTATTCAACCCACATTTCCAAGACACTAGAGAAACTAAGCATGCACCGTTGACGCGCGATTCAGCAAACTTGCACATCTCATTCTACGAAAGAGTATCCTACATAGAAAGTAATAGCCAATACGCCATGGCGAACAATGACGTCGAGGAGGCTCCCCGTAAGGTGCTGGTGGCGATCGACGAGGGCAAGATCACGGAGCAGATGCTAGAATTCGCCATGTCGCAGCTGATGCGCAAGGACAAAGACAGACTCGTCATACTCAACGTGCGACACGCGCAGCCATGTAAGTTAACGTCAACCCCATACACGCAAGAATGACCTCTGCGTCCTGCATTTAATTTTTTTACACTTTGTCTACGATGTTTTACCCTCCCCAGTCTTACCTCCTAACATATTTATTCATCATCCTCCGACTTCCCTTCCCCGACAGTTCCCGGCTCGGAGCGCGTTTTTTCGTCGGCGCACGAGGCGAACATGTGGGAACGCAAGGCGCGCGAGCAAAGCCGGCAGCTCCTCGCGGATCTCGAGGCCAAGGCGCACGAGGCGGGCGTCGCATCCGTGTCGCTCGTGTCCACCGACGGCGATCCGAGGTGCGTGCGACCGACGGTACATGGCAGGTGAGAGTGCCATCGTCGGCTCGGTGTCAGAGCCGTTGCCATTGTTGCAACGCCATAACGCAAAGGTTCGACGCAGATGACTTGAGTATTTTTTCGCAGCATCCTTCTTTTCGCTTCACCCGAGGTAATCATGTCAATGCAGCCGTGAGCGATAACCCAGATGCCTCTCTATTAAGATTGATATGCTCTCCTTCCTCTGCTCTCTTGCCTTCGTGCATATACAGGGAAAAGATCGTGCATGTGGCAAGGGAGAGCCATGCGGATCTGGTGGTGGTGGGGAACCGCAAGGGGGGCACGCTCAACCGACTGAAGCACATGATGGGCAGCGTCTCTGACTACTGCGCGCACCACAGTCCCTGCCCTGTTGTCATCTACCGACAAACCTGTCCCTGAAGCCAAGTAATCATCTCCGCTTCCAGGGCCTCATGTCCCTTCTATGCTCTGCAGTCATGTTTATATTTCAGAACTTCTGCTCCAGCTTTCTGCAGCCATTGCTGCCAATGATCCTGCCAGCTTCAATCGGTGTTGCTGTCCAGCGTTAACCTCACATCTCGTGAGGGAAATTGTCACTCGTTTTCTCCAGCCCTTTTCATTTGTACCGTATATATGCGTAGGTAGATGAGTTGCCTGTGGTCGCTGGTTTCTAAACTAGGGCCTTGAATTAAAACCCTCGTGCTTTAGTGATGAGCTATAATATGTCCTGTATTGAAAGTGATGTTGTTTTACACTGTTTTATCATGCTGGACGTGAGCTAAAAATTAGGGAAAATATTTCAATGGTAACTTACATGGGGCACTATAACGCGTACGGTAACGATTTCAACACGTTTGGTAACTCCGCTAACGCGTTTGGTAACTCGCATAACACGTTTGGTAACTCGCTTAACGCGTATGGTAACTATACACTAGCAGCCCATCACGCGAATGGTAACTACATGAAACTCCCGCCGAAACGACCCTGACAAAAAGGAATTTATCAATTGTGAAAGCGTTTACGCACAGTTTTATCTTTCTTGAACAAGTCCCGCCGCGACTTTGAAGGACCTCGTTTGTTATATTACCATGGACAGAAAAGTTTCAGAGGCGTTTTATATATATATATATATGTAGCTAGTGCAAAGACGGTTGAAATCATATTTTTGATAGCATCATTGCGAACTTGCAAAATGATAAAAAAACATTTCCCGAAAGAACCTCTGGGCTTTACTTTTTGTAATAACTGCAATGTTGGAGAATTTTTGCATGTGGGAAAAAAATACAACTATTGAGAATTACATGTTTTATTTGAAAAAAAAGAACCATAAACGCCTTGTCGCAATGACTTTAAGGTTGATGCCCTCAAATTCATTTGCCATCTGAAAGGGTTACATATTTCGTTTGCCCCGACTGCACGATAGAATGAAGTACAAACAGTTTGCGGAAAGAGCGCCAGAATATCAGTTTTGTATGAACAGTTGTTTTCACAACACTTACGTTTTGCAATTAGCTTGAAAATCGGAAAGTGTGTCAGGATTTCGGAAAGTGTGTCAG